CGGCCGCCCGGGAAGATGCGGCTGCTGCCGGAATGGCTTCTCCTGTTCTTTGGCCCGTGGCTCCTGCGGAAGGTAAGGGCGGCGGGGCTGCAGCGCGCGCGAGCGCCGGGGTCCCGGGACGCGCAGGTCCCGGAGTGCGGGGGGGTTCCGTGCACCTGCCCCGTCCCCAGTTCGGCCGGTCCCAACTTTGCGCGGCAAAGGGGACGCGGACAGACAGACTTCTCCATTCAGGACTGGCGCTCGGTCAGCGCAAGTTGGCTAAGGGTTGAGGGGGCGCCGGGGGTGGTGGCCAGGCCAGGATCTGGCTCCTAGCGCGGCGGGGGAGGGGACAAAGCCCGGCCCGCGAGCGCCAGACGGAGCGGGAGTGTGAGACAGACAGACAAGCCAGCAGGGTGTCAGCCTTGCCGTCTTTACGCGCCAACCTCGCTTGCAGTCCTCGCTGTCTGTCTGTCCCTCTTCCTCCCACTCCCCACTCCCTGGCTCTCTATATCTCTTCTGTGCACATGTCACAATGCCAGGTGGTCACTGTGTTCTGAGCACACGCGCACACACGGACTCACACAGACACGGCTGAACTTGGCTACCCATCACATTTCCCGCGGAGACACCATCTCCCCTGCACCGCCTCACAGACACACCCCCCTCTCGCGGCCCGGCTGATGTGGGGGGACTGTCTGGAAGGGGAATCTCTCCTTCCTTCCCCGCCTTGCCCCACCCCCCTCGGCTGCCTCTTTTTCTTAAGGTTCCCAAGGACCTAGAGGCTAAGGAGACCAGACTTGATCTCCGCCCCCGCCCGTTGGAGCTGCATCGCGTTTACAAGGTGTAGACATTTGAGCTGGTGTGGAGTGGGTCGGGAGTGCACCTGTGTGTGTGTGTGTATGTGTGTGCGCGCGCGCGCGTGTCAGTCCGAGGAAGCCAAGCTTGGGTATCCAGTGCTAGGGCCCAAGGTGATGTGTGCACTGATGTGCTGATATGGTGTGGTGGTGCCGGCTTTGCATGGGTGAATGCAACTACCAGCTTTATTTGCAACTATCTACGTGTGCCCCATGTTTGGCTGGTCCTGGCCCCTGATCTCCTTCCACTAGCCTCCCCTACCCATAGCTTTCCTATTTCCTACACCCCAACTGTGACCCACCTGGTTTTAGGGCAGGCAGATGGCTTCCTTAACCCCCACTCACAGCACCCCAGTCCCCTGCAGAATCTAGAGAGGTACAATTCTCCCCCCAACATTTGGATAACACCTGCTCAGCCAAATCACACTCAACACCCCAGCAGGATAGGGGACTGCCCTAGTGAATCTGTTGATAGAGCTCTTGCTTCTCCCAAATCTGCCTGGTGACCTTGAGGGGCTGGAAGGCGGGCAGAGAAGCCCCCTCCACACTGCTTCCATTGGCAGAAGCTTCTTTTGGATTTGCTGCCCACCTCTGCCCTTAGAGGGCTGTGGGGAGGGGGGCTGTGCCCCACAAACCACCCACGTGTGTAGGCCTGGGATCAAGAGAAGATAGAGATGGTCCTCCTCCGGCCCTCCCTTCTGCTTCCTCCCATCAAATAAACAAACTCCCCTGTGGACAGATCTGGTTTAATTTCCTTTGCCCCCTGAAGGGGAATAAAACATCTGGAGACTTGAGGGAGTGTAAGCATGAGGATGTGAGCGATGGGAATCTATCTGTGTGTGTGTGAGATCTGCAGCTGTGGGGCCAGTGGTGGGGTCAGTGGATGAGACCCTATGTGCCCTTTAGTCCAGCTTGTGTGCATGTGAGAATCTGTGTGTACACACTGTGGGATGTGAATATATATAACTAGGGGAGGGGGTAGAGAAGTGTTTGTATGTCTGAGTACCCATCTCTATGTGCTTAGATGCACTGTGAATATGGTAAGTGAGCACCCCAAGGTGGATCTCTGGTGCATCTGTGTGCTTGGGCCCTGTATGTGTTGTACCTCTGGCTGTGAGTCTCTGGGGTTGATGAGCATGTCTGTGTCGTTGTGGTTTCGAATGCATTTGAGCCATGCTCAGGATGTATTCTTGCATCTGAATAGGTGCTCGTGTGTCTGTGCTCAGCGGTATCTCAGTACCAGGGGTGGGAGTGGGTGGAAAGTGAGGCTGACACTTGGTGAAAGCCTGGTGAGGGACAATTTACAGGTAGCTATTTGGGATACCCGAACCCTCAAACTCACAACCCTGTCTTCTTCCATCCTCTTCACTCCTTCCTCTTCCAGGAGCTCTCTGCCTCCTTCCTCTTGCCCCAAGATTCCCTTCTCTCCTTTCAGGGCCTGGGACTCCAGGCTTCCACTGCTCCTGGGTTCTGGCCTTTCCACCAGGGCTTCTTCAGGATCTTTCTAATACAGCCTCTGACTCCTCTTCCTCTCTGTCTCCCCAACTGCTTGCCAAAGCAGCTGCCTTCTGGGAGAAGCGGCAGGCGATCAATAGTCACTAATCACTAATCACTAATTACTAATTAGCTGGGGGAGGGCAGGGGTGGGGTCCTGTGGGACCATTCAGCTCTGTCCCACCTAAGAGAAGGACTACGCCTGAAACAAGTCTCTGTGAGCTGGCTGGCCCCAGCCCCACCGTTCCACCCCATCTTCCGCTCCATACCCCCCTTCAGCTAATCTCTGGCTGGGCCACTTAGGCACGTGCAGCCTGGGCTATGGCCCGGAGCTGCTGGTGGGGATTTGGGGGTAATCAGGGGCCGCAGCTGGGCTGTGAGTACAGGGGAGGGGACACTGTATGCCCCCTTGAACCAAAGCCAAGGCAATGGCAACCTCAATCCTGAATGGGAGGGGCACCCTATGGAAAGGAATATTTACAGGGTCAGAAGCTTAGGGAAGGGAAGGAGCCAGAGATCTAAGATAGGGTGAGTGGTGAAAAGGTGAGAAAATTGGGGGACAGAAACAAGGGAAATAGGGGTCAGTGGCGTCAGAGACAAGGTAGTTAGGAAGCTAAATAACCGTGGAAAGAGATAAAGTAAGTGCCAGGGCGCTTACAGGGGTCAGAGGTGGGGTAGATTGGCAAGGAGATGGGGAACTTTGGACAGAGCCAACTGAAGATGTGGGGGTGTCCATGAGGGGGCCAGGGTAACCAGAGGAAGGGTAACCGGGAGGAAACAGGGCTTGGGGGAAGGGTCCCAGGCCTTAAGCATTGCTGGGCACTGGGGAGCGTCGCGGGACGTTGTGTAGGCGCAGTCTGCGGGACAGCGGTGGAAGCAGGGAGCGCTGCCTCGAGCGCTGGAAATTGGCGAGTCTCCCCTTCTCCCCCGCCTGCCCCCCCCCCCCCCCCCGCCCACTCCCCCTCCGGCTCCGGCTTCGGGAAATTACATCCCCGCTCCGCGGCCCCCTCCCCCGCTACCGCGCCCCGAGCCGGCGCCTTTATAGGCACATTTATTGCAATAATAAAGTGAGGCGCGGGGCGGGGGGCGGGGGGTGGCCGTTCCCGGGGGGACCGCGCCGGCTCTAGGAAGCAGGGAAATAAAATAAAATAAAATCAAAATTCAGATAACGGTGAGCCTTGCGCTGCAGGCCGCGAGCAGGCGGGCAGGCGGGGCTGAGGGGGAGGGGGCGACCGGCCCAAGGGCAGAGGCTCTCCCACCAGCGGGTGCCCTCCCCCTCGAGCTGTCGTAGGGTCTGGACCTGTGCTTCATCTGCCTGGCCCCCTCCCATAGCCTGATCCTTCCAGGTCTTCTGTCTTTTCCGCTGACTTGTCTCCCATTCCTGTCCTCAGCTCCTGTCTCCATCTCTGTCTCCCACCTCCTCTCTTGTCCCCCATTTCCTATCCCAGTCCCCATTCGTATCCCCCATCCCCCTGATCTTGGCATCCATAGACATCACTATTTCTGCCCAATAACCTTTCGCCGTCCCCCATTTCTGTTGCCACCCCCTCTTGACCCCATCTCCATCTCCCAGTCCCAGCCCCAGCCCCATCCTCATCCCTTCCTGCCCCAATGTCTATTTCCCACTCACCACCCCTGTGCTCCCCCATCCCCATTTCAGTCTCCATCTCTTTCTGTCTCCCATCTTCATCCCCCTGGTTGCTGTCCCAGTTGTATCCACATCTGCACTCAGTGCTTGTCCACAATCCCTGATCCCCCCCAATGCCTGTCCTTGTACCACCCCCACCCTGCACCCTATATCTGTGCCTGCCCAGTCCCCAATCCCAGCCCTCCTCCATCCCAGCCCCACTACTTACTCCAACCTATCCTGTTCACCTCACCTCTGTCCTCACCCCCGCCTCTGTCCCTGGCTCAGCCAGACTCCAGGCTGCTCTACCCCGACCTGACTGCAGTGCCCTTGTCTTTTTCTAGGTGCCTGGTCTTAGTACACTCTTCTCTCCCCTTCCCCAACTCAGACCCTGGCCACTGTTCCATCTCCAAGCATAGGGTGCTGCCTCCTCCTCCTGCCCAAATCCTCAGTGGCCCGGCCTGACCCACACGTCAGGAAGGAAGCCACTGACTGGTCTAGAGGCCCTGGGGAGGTGTGCCCTGCAATGCGGCTGGGGGGCCGACAGGCTGATCCTCGCCCCCTTTCCCAGCAGTCCGATGTCACGCGAGGCCTCTCCCCCCAGTGGAATTTGTTTAGCAGCAAGAGGTGGCCTCAACTCCCCTCTGGTGCGTGGGCTGGGCTGCCTCAGGGGCAAAGCACTCCTTGGCATGACTCCCACCCCGCCTGGGCCTGGAGGAGTCTGATGGAGCCCCCCCTCAACGCCAGGCACCTTCGCTCCAAGCGCCAACAGCCGCACTAGCCTCTCCCCTCTGCAAATGTCACTGCACCCAATTAGCTTAATTAAACCAGTTCCAGAGCAAGGGGTCCCCCCCTTGGACAACACCCTGTTCCCACTCACAGCTGAAGAGGGGAAGGATACCACCATGGGCTGTGGGCAAAGAGGGGCTCCCTACCACCCTGCTTTCCCCTCACTCCTACCCCAATCCATGGTTGGAGACAGACAACCTAAGGGACAGAGGGAGAGAACTACAGTTAAAAAGAGAGACAGACAGAAAAGGAGAAAAACCGAACCACAGAAGGAGAAAATAGAGACAGAGACAGAGTGAAGAAGAGACTGAGAGACAAAAAGAGACTGAGAGAAGAGTCAGGGAGAGAGAGCTGGAGAAACAGGGAAAGAGCGAGGAGAGAGAGCAGGCGTGAGCAGGGAAGCCAGAGGGAGGGTTTTATTTTATTTTGTTCCATGTTCCCATTTCTCGGCTCGTTTGATCGGCAGACTCTTGCCCCTCCCTGTCCAAGCTCCCCCCAAGGTCACTTCAGCCACCCCTCCCAACTCTTTTTTCTCGGCTGTCTCTTGTGGTGGGTGGGGGGTGCAAGTGCCCAAAGCCGAGGGATTTGCCAGGATCAGAGAAGCAGGGACAGCAATTTGTCTGGGATCAGAGGGGAGGATGTCCCCTGTACCCCTCGCTGCCTGGCCAAATGTTGTCCCCTCCCCCAGCCCCTGCCTGGAAGGAGCTGCTAGACTGAACTGAGGCCCCCCACCCTCACCAGGTCCTGAGCTAGGTATGGGATATGAGGTGATGTGCTGGGGTGGGGCATTCAAGCATTTGGAGTCCCAGCAGCAGGCAATGGAGACTGATGGAAGGATGGACTCCCCCAGTAAAAAGCATTAGCTGGGCCCAGAGGGGTGAGAAGATTAGGAGTCTGAGTTCAAACAATCTCTGAAGGGCGGGGGCTTCAGCTTTACCCAGAAGCCTCACCCACCCCCCTCCACCAGCAGCTGCTCCTGGGCTGAGGCTCTGTCCTCCTCAAGTCCACCTGCGTGGGAGCTTGGCCCCTGTCTCCTGGGAGACCTCTCTCCTCTTCCCCTGTGGCCTAGGACCCCTTCTTCCACCCCCTTTCAGACCCACCCTCCAGGAGTTAGCTCTCAGCCTTGACCTGTCTGTCAGAGTCAATCAGTCTTGCTGCCCTTCGCCCCCATACCTAGGCTGGGAGGAGGGATGGATGGGAGGAGGAATGAGGGGGGCGATAAATATGTATGATGATCGGGTGGCGGCGGCATTAATAACCCGGGATCGCAGCGCTGCAGGGACCAGGCGGTAGAGATTTCTAGCCCAGCAGCCTGGCTCTGCCGTTCCTGTCCCCTATGGATACATGGTGTGTACACACTAGTATGTACAAACAGAGGGGGCACCCATGCTGCCAGGCCTCCTTACCTACACAGCGCTCAGCTTGCAGGCCAGTGTGGGACTCCTCCAGGGGGCTATTCATGTACAATGCACACACATATCCACCTCCCAAAGGGAACCCAGTGAGACCATACTTGTTAGAAAGAGCTTGACACAAGGACAGAGGATGATAGGAGCTCACACAGGAAAAGTAACACCTCCAGACAATCACACATTGCTGCCTTCAGACCAACATACACAGACATACAGCTAATCCAGGCACACAACATGGCAGTCACACAGACACAACTACCACAGACTGACACACATAGCTTCACTTAGACCAACACACACAGACACATATACGTTAGCCACTACAAACTGACAGGACATGCAACCACCACAGGTAAACATACTAAAACAACCATTATAGGCAGATATACACACCCACACAGCCTCCCAAGACTGACATACACAGGCATATAGCCACACACGCTCACACTCACACACACTCAAGAGACTGATACACATGTGCATTGCCACTCTAGCCAGATACACAAAGAAAGCCATCCCAAGCCACTCCAGCCAGACAGGAGATACACAACCACTCCAAGTAGACACACACACACAGAATCTCTCTAGATACACACACACACATACAGCCACCCCAGGCTGACAGACACACAGCCACCCCAGACTGACACACACAGTCCTCCCCCTCACACACATGCGTCGACCCACACTCAGTCAGGGCCACACCAAACAGCCCTGGCTAGCAGAGGCTGACTGACACTCTGAGACGCAGGGCTCCTCTCCCTCCCGCTCCCCTCGCTGGAACGGCGTCTCCATATTTCTTCCCTTCGCGCTCTCTCCTCTCCTTCATTCCCGGCCACCCCCCCACACCCGCCCCGGATAATTGATGGCCCGGGCCTGGCCCGGCTGCTCCCGCCTCTCGATCCATCTTGTACTTGCGCCCCGGCTGTCTCCCGAATCGGCCGCCACCTGAGACACGCAGAGGAGGGCAGGGGCGGGCAGGGGGCGGCTCCTGCGGCCCATTCTGAGTCCAGGGAAAGACCACCTAGCGGTTTCCATCCCTGTAGGAGCGCTGGGGCGGGCGGGGTGCTGGTGTAGGCCCTAGCCTCAACCCGGGGAGCCCAGACTCAACCGGTTTCCTGCGCCCCCTCCCAGCAGGGGAGTGGGGGAGAGGCCGGGTTGGAGGCTCTGTAATCTTGGCAGAAGCGCTGGGAGGACTTTAGCGCCTCATTTTTGATGCTGTTGACAGCGGCCATGGCCTCGCTTGTCCAATGTAGCTGCTCCCTGTCCCGCTACTCAGAACCACCTAAGGGCAAAGCTAGAAGAGATGGAGCCAGGTCAGCGCGCTGCTCCTTCATCACACCCACACTGGCTTTGGCTTTCTTGGCCTACAGTTGCAACTTTGTGAGAACGCAAGGATTCTAAGCGTTATTTCACAGATGTGGAAACTGAGGCCTAAATAAATGAAGTAACTTGAAAGGGGCCGATGTCGTCGTATTGGAATGCACATTCTCTGAACCATCTGCTGCAAACAGCGATTACATTTGGTCTCCTAGCAGCTGTGGAAAGGGGTTGGTGTGAGCAGGGCTTTGGCAGAATGGCCGGGGACAACCCCAGCATCTCGCTTTCCTCCTCTTTCTTCGTCCACAGGCCGCCAACGCCCACATGCAGGAGTCCCGGAGGCCGCAATACCTGGAGCTACGCCCCGCTGCGGCCGGAGGGAGCGCCCCTGGCCAGCAGCTCCCGGCTCCCAGCCCTCCCGACAGCTTAGGCACCGCCCGTGCCTGGAGCTGGGCCTGGCCTGCTAACCACACGGGGGCGCTGGCCCGGGCCGGGGCGCTGCCTGCGCAGCGCACCAAGCGGAAGCCGTCCATCAAAGCGGCCCGCACCAAGAAGATTTTCGGCTGGGGGGACTTCTACTTTCGGGTGCATACCCTCAAGTTCTCGCTGTTGGTTACCGGCAAGATAGTGGACCATGTAAACGGCACCTTTAGCGTGTACTTCCGCCACAACTCATCCAGCCTGGGCAACCTCAGCGTCAGCATCGTGCCTCCCTCCAAGCGTGTAGAGTTCGGGGGCGTCTGGCTGCCAGGGCCAGCCCCCCACCCTCTGCAGTCCACACTGGCCCTGGAGGGGGTGCTCCCGGGGTTGGGGCCGCCGCTGGGGATGGCGGCAGCGGCGGCTGGGCCAGGGCTAGGGGGCACCCTCGGGGGCGCGCTGGCAGGTCCACTCGGGGGTACGCTGGGAGTCCCTGGGGCCAAAGAGTCACGTGCTTTCAATTGCCACGTGGAGTATGAGAAGACAAACCGCGCGCGCAAGCACCGCCCGTGCCTGTACGACCCATCGCAGGTGTGCTTCACCGAGCACACGCAGAGCCAGGCCGCCTGGCTCTGTGCCAAACCCTTCAAAGTCATCTGCATCTTCGTCTCCTTCCTCAGTTTTGACTACAAACTGGTGCAGAAGGTGTGCCCAGACTATAACTTCCAGAGCGAGCACCCCTACTTTGGATAGCTCACTCCGCCCCGCCCCCCGCCGTGGCCCTCAGCTTTCCGCCAAATCCCGGCCTCCCTGGGTGGAGCCCCTACCCCTACCCCGCCGCTCCTGTGGTTGTGTCTACCCCATCCACTTGAGGGCGGAGAGGACAGCCCTCTTAGGGACCATCAGCTGGCGTGGGTCCCATTTTTCTTATGGGGAGGGTTCACGAGGCTGAAGATAGCTACTTCGGGTACACCTCAAAGTAGTGGGGAAGAGGGCAGCTCCAGAATAGGTAGGGCTTGGAGGCTGTCCCAGGTCCCTCTCGTCCCTACTTGGTTCCCTTTGCGCCCCTGGCGCTGGGCTGGGCGCTCCCTTTGCCCGCAGCTTTAATATAATAATGCTGGCCTGGCACCCTCATCCCACCCTGACTTTCTTACCCTCAGGCGCTTGTCTTCTCGCTTCACCTTATTTCCGCCTCTTCTCCCCACCCCCAGAAGACTGGCTCTTTATAAACCCCAGCCTATACGCACCCGTCCCCTTCCTGCCCGGCTGTACGCCTGTCCTCCTGTCCCTGCAAGCTCCAGGGCGGAGGCGATGTCCTCTGCCCGCCTCTCTCCCGTCCTCGCAGTCCAGCTCCACCTGCCCGTTTCTGGCTGCTTCCTGCCGGTGATACTTTTTTTCTACGCCAAACAGTCGGGAACGGGAATAAAATAAAGTGAAATCCAATATGCATTTGTGTGAGACCTTTGCAGGGACGAGGGGGGAGGTATGGGCTTCTGTCTGGCAGAGACCTGGCCGGAACCCCCTCCCTCGGCGTTTCGTGGGGAAACTGAGGCAAAGACTGACATAGCTATGATATCCAAGACCGGATTAACAGTAACAGGAGGGGACCTTTGGGGTAAGATCCCTGCCTGAGGGAAGGGATTCTCCTCCCTGAAGTAAAGGAAGTGAAGCTGTAGCATAGAGAATGAAAGTTAGACCTTGGAGGGACTGCCAGTGGACGATTTGGAAGAAACCAGTCTAGAGGCGAAGGAGTAAGGCCTTGAATGAGATGGAGATGCAGGGACAGCGTAGGCCGAGCGCTGACAACCTGCTAAGCTCTGCCGGGCGGGAGGCAGGCGGCAGGTGGGGGGGCAAGGGGACGGTGTTTGCAGCATCTGGAGTCATCGATCTTCCTTTTCCTTCCTAATTTCGTGGGCGCTGAGTTTGCAGACGGATGAGGGAGAGAGGGAGGGAGGCTTGGGATGAAGGGATGGGGGAAGGGACGAGCGCGGGTTTGGAGGGCGGGGCCGCGTCGCCGCCGCCGGCTGCAAGCAAACGCGGCCCGCTTCAGCCAGCTGCCCACCCTCCCCACCTCCGCCTCCAGCTCCCTCCTGCAGCCGCCGCCGCTGCTAATTTTATCCGCCCCCAACCCTGGCCGGGGCGTTAATTGGCTGCGGCTTCATTAGCAGCTCTCAAGCTCAGCCGCCCCCCTCCCCTTGGGACCCCTGGAAGGGGCGGGGGAGGGAGGGGGGGGTTCGGACAAGCTGAGGCACAGAGCAACTCTTCGCCTTCGTTCGGCTAGAGTCCCAGGTCAAAGTACCGACTCGGAGAGGGCCCTGTTCTCCAGGGAATTACACACTGGCTCGAGCTGGAAACTGAGTCAGAGGTAGGTCCGACCCAGACAACCCTGGGAGTGAGAAATCGAGTAAACAGAAAGTAATTATCTTCTGAATGGATAGATGGATGGGTGGATGGATGAATGAATTTATTAATTAATGCATGATCCACAGGATAAACTGCAAGGAGGAGGGAGGTGGGAAGCAGTTCTGATCAGAGATCAGATGAAAGAGAGGAACCTAGGATTCTCCTAACACCAGACCAACTGCTGCAAAGACCTGAGAAAACCTGAGACTAGAACGAGAGGAAAGGAGGTTAGGGCTAAGGGGTTTTACTTCTGAGGCCTGGCATAAGAGCCAGGATGACATGACTGAAACTCGCAAGCTAGCCTCTCTGGGCTGGGTTGTTGCAAAGTGCAACAAGTACGAAACAGACCCCCAATCTGCTCAGGGATGTCAGGGGAGGAAGAGGAGAAGATGACCATGGAGGGGACAGATTTGTGAAGAGGAGGAAGAGGGGGAAGACAGTCCATCACAGAGCATGTTTACATTCAAAGTCTCATTTAATCCCCAGGACATACTATTTTATTATTGCTTTACAAGTGAGGAAATTGAGGCCCAGATAGGCTAACTTGTTAGTCCACTGCGAAAATTAAAACCAAGTTCTCTTGCTCTTCTACACCAGGGTGCTTCCAGTACAGCGTAACTATCTTGTCCAGCTGGGAGTCTTTGTATCTCCCCGAGTACCTAATAATGCTATATATTCAGCAGGCACCCAATAAATCCTTATTGTCTTGGCAACCAACAGGAAAAGACCGTCCTTGAAAGGCTTCAGAAAAGTGAGCGAACAAGGTTCACGGGATTTTTTCTCTTTCCGGCAAGGGTCGTTGGCCCTAAGGCTACAGAAGGGGAAGTGAGGTGAGAAAATCGGGAAAGAACTACAATTCCCAAAAGGCCACCTCACACATGCGTAGGTTCCTCCCGTTAGTCCTGTGGCTTCCGCGCATGCGCTCTCGGATAGGTCGCTCAACGCCCCCCTTTTCCCGGCTGCTCCAGGCTAGAGTTGGTGGCTGGACCTCCTGCGACCTCGGGCTGTGATGCTGCCTTTCTCTTTCCTCTGGGCGGCCCGGGTAAGATTCCAGGGCTCCGGATGCCGGGTGACGAGTGTAAAGGAAGCTCCCCTCCTGTTCCAATTCCCATTCACAAAAGCAGGGGTTCCCCCGACTTTGCCACGCACGTGTTCTGGGGCTTCGGGGAGCGGAGGAGAAACTAGGTAATCCCTGAGATCCCAGGGCGCCCGCAGGATGAACTGGGGTCTCTTCCCCACATTCCTGCGAGCAGACGCCCGAGAGTCGTGACGTCCATTACACGTGGCGTTAGTGGAAGGACCGAGCGGGATGCCCTGCGGACCCTGTTGGGGTGAGCAAGAGGAGTTTCCGACCTGTACCCGAGAGCTGAGACTTTCTTACCGTCTCTGAGCGTTGCAGATGAGGCAACGTGGCCCCAGTGTTTGCCTCAGGGGACTCGTAGCTGTGTGGGCCCTAGAAGGACAGGGTGGGGGTACAGGAGACAGGATGTGGGTTCTGGCTTCTCTGCTAGCAGACAGTCCCCACACCTCCTCCTCAAGGACTGCTAAAGGCCTGTTCCTCCACCTCCTTTACTCTGGAAACTGGCTTTACAACGTGTGGCTTTAATTCTGCCAACTCAGCGTCTTCCCACCTGACTTGGGCCATCAGTTTATGGAGGACCCATAGGAAGCCCTGTTTTATTCTGGAACCTCACTGACCCTTTAGTGAGTTCCAGTGACATGGGCTTTTTTTTTTTTTTTTTTTTTTTTTTTAGGATTTGGGTGAAGATTTACAGAGTAAATTCACTTTTCATACAGCAGTTCACATATACTTTGTCTCATGTCATTGACCAAAATTTACAATGCAGCAGCTCCCCTCCCACTTCCTCCCCATAGCTACCTCCTCCCAGTGTCCATCCCTTCATACTCTTCGAGAGGCCCAATGTCTGCCAACCCTGTATATGATCTTGGATACACTCTCCATTTAGACATACATAATTGTTTAGCTTGTTCACCCATCTATCCGTCCCTATACCCATGTTTGCTTTCATTAACAACTCAGTATTGTATTTACAAAGGGGTTCATATTTGTTGTTTGTACTGCCCATGTAACTCTCTCTGTCTTTCTCTGACATGGGCTTTTTGAAGACAAACTTTACCCTATGGCTTTAAAGAGTAGTTTATGGGAGGAGGCTCTGAGATGAGGTAAATGGACTGAATCTGAGCCACCCCCTGGACCTTGATCTCAGCCTTGGCTCTAGAGCTGGCTTTTGGAGGTGGAGGTAGACATGGTAAGAAGTGGAGCAAACTGACTAGACAACAACTGGCTGCTGAGTTTGGAACCAGAGAGGCCAATAGGTATGGCTGAGGGTGGTTTGTCTGGACCCTTTTTATTTAATGCTTTTTCTGTCCCCAGTCTCTGCAGAGATGCGGTCAGCTGGTCAGGATGGCTGTACGGGCCCAGCACAGTAAGACAGCCCAGACCCGGACTGGGGAAGCAGCCAGGGGTTGGACAGGCCGAGAGAGCCTGTCAGACAGTGACCCTGAGATGTGGGAGCTACTGCAGAGGGAGAAGAACAGGCAGTGTCGTGGCCTGGAGCTCATTGCCTCAGAGGTGGGGCCTCAGGGAGGTGACAGGGTGGGCTACCCTGGGTGCAGGAGGAAACAGGTCATCTTACTGATATTTCTCTAGGTCTCCCTTTGAGATTCAAGGCCTTAACTCCCTCTCTCCTTACTGTTGTCTCCTGAAGCAAAAGCAAGGCCAGTTCAGGGTATGGGTGGAGGCATTAGGGAGCTTCCATAGCCTTCTGGTCTGGTCCTTCCCTCCCTCAAAAGAAAAGAAGGGCCAGGAAGTGCAGATCAAATGGACCTGTGGCCTTGTTGGAGACACACCCACAGTGGGTCTCTGAGGATGCTGCCTCTCACCCTGCCCCGGGACTAGCAAAGAACCCTGAGTGAAGATACCCTTTGGAGTCCAGCTTCGCTCTGCATCTTGGGGCTCTGGCAGGGAAAGGGTGTTGCGGTCCATGGGAAGGGGCTTTTTATACCTTCTGAACAAGAACGCTGACACTGCCCCCCCCCCACCCCAGAACTTCTGCAGCCGAGCTGCGCTGGAGGCCCTGGGGTCCTGTCTGAACAACAAGTACTCGGAGGGTTATCCTGGCAAGAGGTGAGGGCTAGGCACCAGCGGGCTGGAGGGTAGCATCAGGGATGGTGTTTCCAACATGGGAAACCTACCTATATCCTTCCAGTGTATATAGAGAAGTGGCCTTCCCAGTGCTTTGCTGTTGCAAGGGGCATGGTAGCACCCTTTCTCTGTACCCTTATGTGACCCCCTCCTATGGCAGATATTACGGGGGAGCAGAGGTAGTGGATGAGATTGAGCTGCTGTGTCAGCGCCGGGCCTTGGAGGCCTTTGACCTGGATCCTGCGCAGTGGGGAGTCAATGTCCAGCCCTATTCGGGGTCCCCAGCCAATCTGGCCGCCTACACAGCCCTTCTGCAGCCCCACGACCGAATCATGGGGCTGGACCTGCCTGACGGGGGCCAGTGAGTGTGTTTGGGGTGGGTGATGGGCTTGGCAGACAGTAAGGGTGTGGGAAAGGAGTCATTTATTGAACACCTACTGTGTGCCGTGCAGATGGAACAGGCCACTCCTGCCCTGCAGGTTACAGTGGATGAGGAAACTGTCTCCAGTAACACCATTGCCCACCACAGAGCGGGCCAAGCAATTGGGTGTTGTGGGGTGGGGTCGTGCTAAGAACAATGTTCCAGGGAATGGGGGCCTTTGGAGCTTGGTGGGAAGGGAGTGGTTAAGTCTGGGGGTTATTCCGCTCTCAGTCCGCCTGCCTTCTTCCGCCTTCCCAGTCTCACCCACGGCTATATGTCCGATGTCAAGCGGATCTCTGCCACATCCATCTTCTTTGAATCCATGCCCTACAAGCTGAATGTGAGTGCCCTGGAGTATAGGGAGGGGCTGCTTAGGCCCTGGTGGCTCTCCTCTGGGGAATGTGTAGTACCGGTGTCCCTTGGCGTGAAGAGGGAGAGGGAGTTGCCCTCTTTCTTCTCATGGCTTTAGCTATTTGTCTGTTCAGCCCAAAACTGGCCTCATTGACTATGACCAACTGGCACTGACAGCCCGGCTTTTCCGACCACGACTCATTATTGCTGGTACCAGTGCCTATGCGCGTCTCATTGACTATGCCCGAATGAGAGAGGTTGGTAGAGGACACTCCCCTAGGGTGGAGGGAGATTTGGGAGGAGGAGCTGTTTTGGGTAGGCCTGTTGATGCCCTCCCCAGGCTGAGACCTGTCTCTGTACCTGCCCCAGGTGTGTGATGAGGTCAGAGCACACCTACTGGCAGACATGGCCCACATCAGTGGCCTGGTGGCTGCCAAGGTGATCCCCTCACCTTTCAAGCATGCGGATGTTGTCACCACCACCACTCACAAGACCCTTCGAGGGGCCAGGTCAGACTCCCTGAGGCCAGGCCTTGTGTTTCCCTGCCTTCATGCCCTTCCCCTGGGGCATTGCCGGGCTGGATCTGAGGGGAATTCATTCCTGCCTGCAGTCCTGAAGACCTCTATCAAGACAGTTTTCCTTGGTCCATGGTGGCCATTCCCTAGCAGGGGACTTGGGATGGGATTGAGTGGCTGAACTCTCCCATCACTGGAATCTAGCACACAGACAACAAAACTGAGGGAACTTCTGAGAGCTTTCGGGGGTCCTGGCCAGCCAGCTTTCTCTACCCCTTGCCCTTTCCTTTCATCTTAGATTCTGACCACCCACCTCCCACACAGGTCAGGACTCATCTTCTACCGGAAAGGGGTGCAGGCTGTGGACCCCAAGTCTGGTCGGGAGATCCCATACACATTTGAGGACCGAATCAACTTTGCTGTGTTCCCATCACTGCAGGGTGGCCCCCATAACCATGCCATTGCTGCAGTAGCTGTGGCCCTAAAGCAGGTTGGAGTTGCACTTACCAAGGCGGGTGGAGGGGTGGTTAGCCTGGAAGATTGGGCCCCTGCACCTTGCTAACTGAAGTTGGGGCTGGTGGAAGGAAGGAGTCAGGATGTGGTGGGTCAAGGTTGGATCCAGGCCTGGTCACAGGTGCTGTTCTTCCATCCCCAGGCCTGTACCCCCATGTTTCGGGAGTATTCCCTACAGGTTCTGAGAAATGCTCGGGCCATGGCCGACGCCCTGCTAGAGCGAGGCTACTCATTGGTGTCTGGTAAGCCAGGGGGGATGGTAAGGGCCTTTCTAGCTTCTGGCAGAGATCCAGGACTCACTGCTCCCTGCTTACCGTCCCCCCTTAGGTGGTACCGACAACCACCTGGTACTGGTAGACCTGCGGCCCAAGGGTCTAGATGGAGCTCGGGCTGAGCGGGTGTTGGAGCTTGTATCAATCACTGCCAACAAGAACACTTGTCCTGGAGACCGAAGTGCCATCACACCCGGGGGCCTACGGCTAGGTGAGACCCTGGCGCTTGTGGAGGGAAGGGACCCCACATTGATGGCTGCCAGGTAGGCTTGGGGCTTTTTAATCCTCCCTCTCTGCCTCCCTCCCAGGGGCCCCAGCCTTGACCTCCAGACAGTTCCGGGAGGATGACTTCCGGAGAGTTGTAGACTTTATAGATGAAGGTGTCACCATTGGCTTGGAGGTGAAGAGTAAGACTGGTAAGTGAGCAGCAGCCTCCTGAGCCAGCTGCACTTTACACTCCCCAGCTGCCCTCTCCCCTGGGTGCCTAACTTCTTTGCCTAGAGTCTCACTACTTTTTTTTCTCACCCTTCTCTATAGCCAGGCTGCAAGATTTCAAATCCTTCCTGATTAATGACCCAGAAACAAGGCAGCGGCTGGCCGACCTCAGACAACGGGTAGAGCAGTTTGCCAGAGCCTTCCCCATGCCTGGATTTGATGAGCGCTGAAGGCACCTGGGCTGTGAGGCCCACAGATTGGAAGTTCCTCTCCCTACCCCATGCTGGGCCAGTGGAGGGAAAAGCTTATCTTCCTAGTTTTTGATGGGGGTGAGAAGGCCTCTGACTTAGAGGAAAAGTCAAGTACATTACATTCCATTCCCCTTCCAAAATTCATAGCTGAGAAGACTTTTTTTTTGTAGCAAGACTTAGAAGACCCTGACTCGGTCATTATCTCAGTGTTACAGGCTCCCTGCTCTTGGGGAGAGGGAGGTTTACCCTTCTGAGCCAGAGGAGGGGGTGGGTAGGCCTCCTCCTTCCTGTTTTTACCTAATAAAATGCGAACCCACCCTGAGTTTCTCTTACTGTGGGAGGAGTCCCCTGGGCCAGTTAGTGATTTGTCTTCCTCAGTGTATTGCTCCCTTCCCTTCCCTCCCACCTCTGCCACCACAAGGACCCCCCGGGGGCTGCGGCCTCCTCTCTCAGTCTCTGATCATATCCAACACCAGACGTGATTAGCAGGCGCAGCAAATTCAATTTGTTAAATGAAATTGTATTTTGCCCACGGCTGCTTCTGTTTGATCCCTGGGGACAGTGGGAGCAGGGGAGGGGTGAGGAACAGCAGGGGGAGGCCTAGGTGCAAGGGGGAGGAGATACCTATCCATGAGGGAGGCAGCCCAGCAGGCCTAGACACCAGGGTGAACAAACTGCCACTCCCAAGACCAGGTACCCCATCCACCAGAGGCTGGGCAAGCCCAGTCCAGTCAGAGCAGCACCGCCCCTGGGCCAGTGCCTGGAGTCTGGGCTAATACGGGATCTGCCACGTCGCTTGGCACTCAGGCCCCTGCTCTCTCCTGGCTCACGTTGGCCACGCTCTACACGTAGCCCAGATCACACCCTGCAGAGACTAAGAGTGGGGAGGAGGGAACTGACTGGCTTGGGTTGTGTTGATTGCTTCTTCCTGCCTTCCCTACACCCTTCCCTCCCCCAGTGAGACTGAAGCTGAGGGTCAGAGGCGCTTCCGCTGCTGGGAGCAAGGGAGGAGTATGGGGTTGGAGTGCCTCCCCTCTGCGTGGGAAACTGGCCTATGTAAGCAGAGTTGGATGGAGTGGCCAGAGTGGTGCCCTGGAGGGCTGAGAGTGGCTGCATGTGGAAAAAATGACTGGGACGACGGGCTGCGGTTTACACTCGGCTTAGAAATCTGGCCTGTCTTTCTTCAGCTTCTTATAGTCCGTTGAAACTGCCAAGAACTAGAAAGAAAAAGAAATGGGGTGCCAAAGGTTTCTCTGTGCCCAGGGTGGGTCCTGGCATCAACACATAAGCATATGAGAGTGCAAGGCTGGAGACACCAGGAAGTACCTTGTATTGGTCGTTGGGGCTCAGACGGTTCCAGGGCTCTGGGTTGTTCTTTCGGTCCCAGCTGTAAGCGGGAGGGGGAGGGTTAGGGTCTTCTCGCTGGGGTCCTGGATTCTGGAGCCTAATGTCACCGTCAAATCCAGTGAAGGTACTCTTCCTCCCACATCACCTACCCTAGGGGGCCCATTTCGCAGAAACCTACGAGGTTCACATTAGTGGGTGCTGACAAGAGAGACAGAAGCCTGTCACCATTGGCAGCATTGGGCCAGGTGATAGGCTGATAACCCAGGGGCACACCTGCCCGCTCCCCACCATCCTAGCTTAGTCCTGCAGAGCGAGGCCATGGGAACCTGACCGAGATCCTGAGGGTCTAGGTTTTCAGTGATTTGCCTCGTTAACGCCAGGGGAAGCCTGACACACGGGCCAGAGGACCCCACCTCCCACCTCAGCCCGGCGTGGAGTCTCCGCGCACCATCTCGACCCCTAGAGTGCCACCTCGGGCCCCTGCAGGGGGCCCCAGCAGCTCACCCGGCCACACCCGGCGCTCCAGCGCAGAAATAGCGGAACCCAAAGGCCCGGGGTGGGCAGAGCGACGTCGCTATGGCAACCTGGCCGGGAGCGGCGCGGACTCCGCCGCCCGGAGCGGGTCCAGTTGTGAGACACGCAGGACTGAGCGGCCGGCTGGGCCAGAAGGAGGTGGGGTCTCCGTGTTGGGAGCCGGCTCCAGCTCTGAGACCGTGCAGCCTGCGGATCCCCGCTAGGGTCACTCATTCCCACTGTCCCTGAGAGGTCTAGTTCCATCATGCCCTACCCTAGCACCCCTGCTTGCGCCCCCAGCCCGGCCTTTACCAGACGTCGGGGCTGCGCAAGGCGAGTCGCAGCAAGTAGAGCGCAGCGCTGCCCATGCCCAGGCCGATGAAGCCGATCATGGGGATGAGCTGTGGAGAGGGGAAAGCACTTTCAGGGTCAGCTTCTTCCCCGCGGTTCCCACGGGCCCTTTTCCAGCCTCCTGGTCTGGCACACCCTCCTTTCTGGCAAAGCACTTGGAGACTCATAAACCACGACCCCCACACCGTGGTCTCCTTCACCCCACAGCGCGCCTGTCCCAGGTAGATTTGTGGGACATTGGGTACGTTGTACGGATGGGGTGGGGACACCTTGAGGGAAAATTAGGAGCGTTGGGGGAACTGAGCTAGAGGCGGGACACCAGGGGATTTGGGAGACAAGAGAGGAGTTAGAATCAGGAGCTGTGGGGACAGAACTCACGCCTGGATTTCTCTTGATCTGTCGGTAAAGGCGAGACCCCAGACTGGTTCCTGCCATATCTTCTCCTGACTGTCTGGTCCTCTCCAGAGGCTCTGCTTTCTTGGTCCTCCCGGGGTCCCGCCCCATTGGGGAGGGGTCAGTCCAGCCCAGCCCAGTCTGGCCCAGCCAAGGCCTACCAATTGAGATGCACCGCACCCATTCCAGCTCTATTTCTCCCAGACCCAAAGCAGGGAGGGGAATTATTGGGGCAAGGAGAAGTTCCTGTTCTAGACTCTCTCCCCTAGATGTCTGCACCCTGAACCCCAGGACACCACTATACCTGAGACTTTAGGGTCTGAGGTGAAGGACCCAGAGACTGAGGGGGATCCAAGTATAGACTGTTCAGCAGAGGGCACATGCGTAGTGTGTTCATAGGTGGGACCAGGGGCCAGGAAAGCACCTGCAGCACTTCCCTAATACTCCTATAGTCACGCTGGAGCTAGCAGGTCCTGGAAGCCCTGGTCCTGCCTGGAGTGGAGTGGGAGGAAGACTGGGACAGACTGACTGATGGCACTAAGCTGCCTCAGTTTCTCTTGTCTTCGATGGTTTATCTGAGCTGAGATTGTCCTGGAACTGTGGTTCCAGGCCTGAGGAGCCTGGGGCGAATTGTGAACCTAGCTAAGGACAGAGTCAGTCAGTTGGTGCGTAGTTTTGGGGTTTGAGAGACTTGCTCTCGTCCTGCTTATCTCCAGTAAGGGTGAAGGTGAAGCCACTCAAGGAGGCTGCCCTCTGCCTCTGGCTGTGAGGGAAGAGGAAGAGAATGGAGTGAGAGAGAGTGAAGGAAAGATAGAAAAGAAGAGGAGGAAAGAAAACAAAACAGAGGCAACTGCGAAGAGGCTGCCTCTGGTGTGCAGCCAGCTCAGGTGTATGCTATGTTGCCAGAGTGGGAAGGCTCACCACCCCCGACTTTAGGGAATTGAAGTCCTAGGTATGTAGGAATGAACCTTAACAGCCTCTCTCCACTCCCACACTAGCCCTCACCAGACCGCTGCCGGGACCTTGCCAGGCTTCCCCACTTCACCCTTTGCGGGGGCAGGGGCTAGCTATGCCTCTGCTGCTAGGTCCAGGAAGGCAGGGGATGCTTCCTGGGAGCGGCCCCCTCCTCTTCTCTGGCTGACAAGCGCGGCTGTAATTAGGCTGCAGGGTCCTGGGCTCTCCGCCTCCCTCAGGCGGATAATGAGATAAAGTGTCAGAGACAAGGCAAGAACAAAGAGACAGAGACTCACGGCGGTGTGTGTGTGGGGCGGGGGAGGAGGGTTGACGGGATGTCAGCACCACAGCGGTGTGGAGCCCGAGCCCGATCCTCCCAGAGCACCCGCACCTCCAGGGCCTGACCAGAGATGGGGCGTCCTGTCACCTGCACCCTGCAACCCTCCAGTCTTTGTGGGACCAAAAATCAATCCTTGAGCTAGAGTTTGAGCAGCGCACAGCTGGGCTGCACAGCTGGCTCTGTGAGGTTCAGCTGGGGCACCAAGACACCGGGAGGGACGCTTGGCCCCTGTTCTGCCCTCTGTGCCCTTTCTTCTGTGTTCAGGTGACCTAGGCCTGGCGCACCCTGGACTCTCCAGGTCCTGCTTCTTTCTGTAGCAGCTGCTGTTTGTTCTGTCTTGGGCCCTCTGCCCCAGTTCCCCAAGCTCCTCGTTGCATCTTTCCTGCGCTAGCCTCCAAACGACTTCTTGACACGTTTACTTGCTTCTGGTTCCTGTCTCTGACCTCTCTCTGGTTCTGACCATATTTCCAAGCCTCTCCCATCTCTGGATCTTGCACTTTGGGGCCAGGCAGCCAGGCAGGGACTCGGAACTCCTTGGGTTCTAGATCCTACTCCGCCTCATCCTCGCACTTTCCCACTCAGGCCACGCTGGCTGGCCAAGCCGGGTGAGGGACTGCAAGAGTCATTAGCCGCGGATTAGGCGCGACTAGGGGCGGTGTGGGTCCCACCGGGACCGGACTGTAGCGCCTAATGAACGCTATACACCACCAGGACAATAATTGGCGCGGGGGCCACTCCACATATTAAACACGACTCGGCGCCGCAGGCGCTGTGGTGGCGGGTGCCCCCTGGAGGTCGAGCGGCTCCCAACCCCTCTGGGGAAGCATTGGGCGTCCCCTGCTGGGAAGCGCCGACTCTGCGCCCCGCCCCGTAGCATTCTGGTGGGAGCCCGTGCCCGGCTTGTCTGTCCACGCCCAGCCAGCCAACCCAGCACTCCAGCCGCCACCAAGTCCCACAGCCTAAGCTCTTCTGGTGGGAGGTGCGTCCTGGGGGCGAAGAGGGAAAGCTGAAGTGCCCCCCCCCACTCGCCGAGGCTCCATCTGTGCACTGGGGTAGTGCTGCCCCGACCAAGAAGCCCTCCGCTCTCTTCCCATGTTTGCCATGGCTTCTGACTACTCTTCTTTCCTGCTACTTTCTTCTTCAGGCCTTGTCTGAATGTCTCTCTCTGAGTCCCTCTGTTCCTTCTTCTGGCTGTCTCTGTCTCTCTGCAGCTCTCCACCTGGCTTCATCCCTCCGCGTCTGTTTGTCTGCTTGGGTCTCTGTCCTTCCCTCGGCATCTTTCTCTACCTCCCGGTGTCTCTTTACAAAGACCTGTTCTCTTTAGCTCCATTTCTATTCTCTGGCTTGCTGCCCCTGGGGGCTGCAGAAGTCCAACGGGACTGCCTGGTGACACTTCGGGGTCCCATCCCGTTTCACCTCCACATGTCCGTCACCTCGGCACGGCCTCCGTCTTCCCGCTGCAGCTATGGGGCGGGGAGGGGCACCCGGGAGAGAAGATACAGTGCCCAGCATCTGTTCGGGAGCCCCGGGGCGCCTGACCCCCCTCTGCAGCTATTAAGGGCGCTGGGTCCCGAGGCTCCGAGATGATCATGATTGCATCAGCCAGACAGCCGCGGAGCCGGGAGCCGCGCGGCGAGCGAGCGAGACAAAGACGCCCGCGCCATCTGTTTTATGCAAAGCGCTCTCCACCCGGGACCCAGGAGTCCCGGCGCCTGGGCCAGCTCGGGGCACAGGGTCATGAGCATGTCCCCACCTGGCGCCCCGCTGCGCCGTGGCTTCCCCCCCTTCCCAGCACCCGAGGGGCCGCTGAGCGAGCGGTGTGTGTGTGGGGGTGCCGAGGGTGTTGATGTGATTGGAGCGGACGCGGCTGTTTCTTCAATAATGGATGGAGATGATGCGGGCGGCGGAGCCGAGTCGGCCGGCCGGGAGAGGAGAGAGGAATAAAAATGGGGAGAGGAGGGGGTGGTGAGGACGGAGACGCACCCAAGCACACACGCACAGACACACACGCGCGCGCGCGTCACACTGTCATTTGGGTACACGCTACTGCGCGGCTCACACCCAGGCACACGCCCACGCACTGTCACCGAGACACACGCACCTGCAGGCGGAGACGCCAGAGCAACACACACCAGCGGCTCCTCCTGATTCCCTGTCTTTCTCTCTCACGCACACAACCCTGCAGATCCACGGAAATGCCCACACGTGGACACACCAAGGCGCAGAGAGGCACAGACACGCCAAAGAACATATGCACACCCAGACGAGACACCCAGGGGTACAGACAGAAATGATTAGGGGTGGGGTGGGGTGAGCAGGGCACGGACAAACCTAACAGATTCGGACGCAGTGACACAGATACAGGCACTGACCCCACACCTGGGACTCATATAAATACACCTCACACTCCCGGGGATACACACACAGGAGCAAAGCGGACAACCGCCAGAAACCCAGACTATAGCCCTCCCACACACTCAGCTCGAACCCACGCATATGCAGGAGCTGCCGCCTGTGTCTGGCAGGGCTGGAGTGTGGCAGCGAGGTCGCTGAGGTCCCGCGAGCAGGCCTCCTTAGCCAAGCAGTGTATAATGAGGTCGTGGTGACAGGAGGCGCCTGAGGCTGTGGACTCACTGGACTCCACTCCTCCTGCGGGACTCCGCTTGACTGGGGCTCAGCCTGCGAGCTTCTTTACCCAGCCACTAGGGCAGCCAGGGCGGGCCTTGGGCCGACCCAGTGCATCGCACCTGGCCAGAGCAGTTCCGATGTAAACGCAGGAGCCATAGGGGGACATTGGTGGCTGTACTGGGAGACTCCTAGGATTCCCTACATGGGCCAGGAGGCTTGGGTTGAAGAAAGCACACTGTGGGCCCCTCGCTTTCCTTCCTTGTCCAATATTCCGACTTCAAGGGGCAGGTTTTTTGTTTGTTTGTTTGTTTGCTAAGAGTGCTCCGGTGGCGTAGTGCCCCAGGCATTTGACTGCTAACCAGAAGGCTGGCGGTTCAAATCCACCAGCCACTCCTCGGAAGGCAGGTTGGGCAATCTACTTGCGTATTGATACTGCCTTGGAAACCCAGAGGGATTGCTATGAGTCGGCACATAACAACAAGAAGAGTGAAGGAAAAAGAGTGAAAGATGAAGTGGTGAGGATTGGGGTGGGAGTTGTGCCTTGGGCTCTGCCACCCCAGTCACTCCTCGGCTCTGTTTTCAATTCAGTCCGCTCCTTGGCACAGACTTATGACCTTTGCCGCTTGCGGCAGCATCATCCATCACCCAAGCGGCCGCTCGATGGAGTGGGAGCACTGGGGGCTCACACAGGGTCGCTGTCTAGCCCATCGTCCTCTCCTGGGGCCTGCTCTCTGACTCGTGGACCAGGGCTTAACTGGTGAGTGGGTACCAGGGACAAGGCGTGACTATGGGGATTGATCAAGACACTGAACCTGAAGTCCCCAACCCCCACCCCAGCACCCCTTCTTTAAGCTCAGTGCAGTCCGCCTCCCCGCTCCTCCAGCCCCCCTCTCTCGGGCCCTTTGCTTAATTTCCTATTAACTGCTGATAAATCCAATTAAACCGCCGCTCTAATTAGGGACAGCTGCCGGCTCCGCGAGGCGGGGAAGCGGGGCGCCCCCCGAGTGTAGGGGAACAGCCGCTCTCTCCCTGCTTCTCTGGCACCCCCCACCAGCACTGCTGCCCAATGAGCCAGTAAATTGGTTTTGTTTCAGCATTATGGGGGGCTCTCTCGAGAATCTCGGGGGGCTCCTGTTTTGAGTACCTCAAACCGTTAGATGAAGAGAGGTGATGTGGGCCTTCCCTGCGTCTCTCATGGTAGGCAGGGCCGCGAGGTGGGGTGGGGACAAGAGGCTGATTTTTGCGTGATTAAGGGAACTGCTCCTATTCCAGTTTAAGTTTGATTAAAGGTGGTCTACCTGAGTCTTCCTTTACGACCCCTGCGCCGCCCCCAGGCGTCTGGGACGGACAAGGGCAATGGGAACAGGAGCCCGGAAACCCAGTTCAGCAGCTAGTCTTCTGTGCTTCCCTACCCCCTCCATTCAGCCTTCTGGCAGGAAAAGGGGCGCGTCCGTCCCAGGCCCCCTTCTTCCCAGCCCAGCTGAGCCTCTCTGCCCTACCCCCTCCAGCAGCAGATGGTGCCCGGGCTCCCGCTGCCAACCTTGCTAGGCGGTGCCAACCTCAGGCCTGGCAGACAAGCGGCAGAAGAGCTCCCGGCTGGCCACGCCGACCCTCCCCCACCCGCCATCAAGCTCAAGAATCTCCGCCTGCCTCACTCCAGCGACCACCCCAGGCTGCCTCTCACTGGTCCGCTCCCAGGTCCCCAAACTCCTCGTCTCCTACTGCTCCCTTCCCTACACTTCCCCGCTCTCCGCCACCTGCCGCCCTGACCAGGGCCGACGTATTTGCATATTTACATATGCAAACAATAACATTTGCATACGACGCGCCGCAGGGGGGCCTACGTGAGAGCCGGGAAGCTGCCTGCCCCGCGCCCTCTCACTCTATACCTGTCGGAAAGGACTGGGGAGGGGGGCGGTACGGGAGGGGTTATACCCACCTAGCCTCGCTCTCTCGGTTCCCCGAGGACTTGAGGAAGTGTTGCCATGGAGACGGCACGCACCCCACCTCCTCCCAGGCCTAGGGTCTCGGGCTTGTCTCTGGTTCTCTCCCCCTAGGTCCCTCGCTCTCCAACCAAAATCTTGCATCGCCCCCTGGCGGCCCAAATAGGCGCTGAGCCAGGTTCCGAAACCGAATGGGCAGCCCGCAGCTGAACCACAGCTCCACTACCGGATTCGGCTCCTATAGTCGCAAAAGGGCGCAGGGGCGGTAATTTCAGTCCCGTTACCCTGCTTGTACTGACCTGAGGCTTCACCAGGGGGACGCACGTGTATCCCCACCTCCCAGTACCCTCAGCCGAGGTGGGTTTCGGGTTACCCGATAGCACTGTGGTGGGTTCCTGGACTGCATTCGCCACCCCACCACCCTCAGGTAAAGATCAAACTTTTGTTAACTTTTGTCAAAACTTTAATAAATGGACATCGACGGTTCGCCTCTCCCCAGGCGCTTCCTAGTGGAGACACGTCCTTCTTCAGCTTTAGCATGCTGTTGCTCAAGGGGGTGCGGGTGGCGGGTGCTGGCTGCTCTGGGCACCAGGTATAGGGGGCGGGAACCAGTTCCTTCCCAGAAGCCCCGTCAGGTTCTGACGGGCCTTCCCACCCCCTTCCCCTCTCCAGCAGTCCAGTGACCCCCGCCCCTTTCCTCCCCAACCTCCGCTGGGCCCGCCCAGAGGGGGGAATAGGTATGCCTCGCCAGCAGGCGCCCGCACCCCTAAATCTCCTCCAAAAAGTCGGTGGGAAACAGCCCCACCTTGCGGCCGGTGTAGACTTTGACGTAGCCACCAGCTTCCTCTCCTTTTTGCACCACGATCTGGGGGATTAAAGGGAGTAGGAGAAGAGGTATCGAGGGGGAAAAAGTAGGAGTAGGGTAGTCAAGGGTTATGGAGGCCCATTTTAGTGTCATTAATGGGTTAAATCTCCAAGAAGTGTGGAGCAATTCAGATTTGGAGATGGGTTGGGGCACCAACCTGGTCCTTCTTGAGAGTGATCTGCCCTATCTCGCGGTTCCCCACAAAGGATCGTGTTACACGGTGCACGCGCTCTCCAGCTCGGACCCGAATGATGAAGTTAGGAGGAAAAAATCCCACCTTCTCCCCGATTTTCCCCTAGGGGAGATGGTAGTGAGGATCAATCTCTCAAGTGACTAGATTCTAAGTACTCAACACTAGTCCTACCCTAGCCCCATCCACTTCTTACCCGCCACCACTCCTCATTGGAGTCATCAATGACTGTGATCTTCTCTCCAGGCCTGCGAGAGGAGGGGATGGCCTGTGAGATTTAGGGGGCTCATTCACATTCCTGGTCCTGGCTCCAGCCCCAACAGGCTCAAAGCCCAGAGCCCCCTTTTCCATAGGAAGCCTAATCTGCCCTCTCCCCTTCCCAGAACCCCCCTCCTCTCAAAGCCTCTCACGGGAAATCCAGATCATCCTTCTCCAGAGCTTTGAAGCGATAAAGAGCCACAAAGTAGTGAGACTGCTGGAAACCAGGCTGCTTGTGCTAAGGGTGAGAGGAGATGATGAGTCGCAGAGCTCCTCTGCCCCACACTGAGGGGTGGGAGTCCAAGACAGGAGCATTTTCCAGACACATTCCATTCTAATTCTCTTCCAGGTCCCTGAACTGAGAGGAGTTACAGTGTCTGTGTGCTGCAGAGGGCAAGTTAAGGGTGTTGGGAACCCAAGGGGTAAGTGTGAGCTTCTGCTGAGGTCCTCAGCAGTATCAGATCTGCGTTAGGGGGCATGCTGGGGTCTTTGCAGAGAGGAAGCATTCTCACTTTGTCATCAGGTGTCTTCTTTTCAGCCTTCTTATCCTCTTCAGTGTTTCCTGGGATGGGAAACACCAACACATTGTTTCTGGCTTCTAGAAGGCAGCCCTCATCCTCTTATTCTCTTTCATTTCCACAATTGGCCTGCCCTTTGCCCCTCCATCCCATACCATAAGTGAGCCCCTGACCCTACTCCACTTCTATAGATAGAGATGGGTGACACTCACCAGCCTGGGGTTTTCCTTCCTCTGGTCTGGCAGACTCTGGTTCCTCCTCCATCATGGCTGCTAGAGGCTGGAGGGGGCACCAGAGTTAGGGAGATAGGGTCTTGGGAACCAGTCAAGCCACAGAACTACAGAATATGGTATCAGGGTTGGAAAGAGCCTTGGAAGAAATACCTACTTCAACATCCTGGTTGGTGGGTGACTCACATTGTGCTTGAATGTGGCTAATGACAAGGAGCTCACCTTACAAGGCAACCTCATGTAATTTTGGGGCAATTCCCTACATTAAGCCTATGTCAGTTGCCCTGTAACTTGTATTTATTGGTTCTGGTGTGACCTCTAGAGCAACATAAAATATAGTCTCTTTAAAGATCTGAGAACAGATGTTATGACCCTTCAAATCACCCCCTGTGATCCAGAGTCCAGATCCTTCACTATATAGTCTACCCTTAGAAATACTCTATAGAGTGTAACAGAAAAATGGAAAGCACAGATTTTATAATTCCCTTAGGAGAAAAGAACCCCAAGAGTGTGCTGGCCCTTCTAGAAGCAGCCAAATCACACTGCTAGTGCTTAATAAGGTATCGTTCACACCACAAAAATCCCCTTATCTTCTGTCAATCTCCATACCAACCACTTTGAGGCCAGATTTCTAATTGTGTTCTTATGCAGTTGATTTTTTTTTTTTTTTGGGGGGGGTGAAGCCAAGAACAGATCATTTCTCCTTACAAAATTTCCTATTATTTGTTTTGGCCTATTCTTCTAGCCAATAAATTTTTTTTAGTATATTACTGTGTGTAAGTTTCCTCTCCTAGTTTTCTAGTTCCTACAAAATTAATCTACCACTTAATATGTGTGTCAGTTAGAAAAATATCTTCATAGGTAAGGATCAAGAACCAAATCATGTTATAAGGCATCAGAAATCTCCCTCTAGCTGGACATTCCCTAAAGGACCAGGACCCTTTGGGTATTATCATTTAATCAAGTTATAGGAAACCATCGAACTAATCATCATCCATATTAGTTCATCCTGGCTATCCACAAAGAAGATATAAAGATACTCTTGTTAGTCTCTGCTGAACTGGTACTGATACACACTAAGTCTATGACACCACCAACTTATTGTCCCTATTACAAAAGGAAATGAGGTTAGCCTTTGCCACTAGTTTTGTGCCTCAGTTTCCTCATCTATAAGATGAATGACCTTCATGGTTCCCTGCACAGGTCTAAAATTCTCTGATTACTTGGTGTGACATATTCTCTCCCCCGAAATCCAAAAACTCAGCTCTTTTCTATCATCCAGCAATGCCACAGGCCCAAGGCCTACCCTTCAGGTAGTTATAGTGGTTAATCTGAAAAATTCAGAAGGGAGATCCTGGGGGAAAAAGTACTCCATGGCAGGAGTTCTTAACCTGAGGCCCACAGTGAACTACAACTGGCCCCAAAACTCAACTTGCACACAAGAATTTGTTGGGTTATATGCAGTATTAGGGGAAGAGGATCCACAACTTCTGTCAGCTTTCTAGAGGTGGGGCATGACGTACTCCATGTGGTCTTAGTGAGGAACCTCAGGGGGAAGGTACAGTGCTCTCACATTTTTCTTATCTGCCTGTCCCTTCTTCCGTTCCTTGTTTGCCATGATCACCCCAGTACGCAGGGTTTCAAACACAGGGTCACTGCGATTAGCAGCAGCTAGTGGGAATGGAAAGAGAAAAAAGGAAGATATTACTGTGGAGGCCAAGAAAGGCTTGGAGGAAAGAGGCCGCTTAAGGAAATGAGAGGTGAGACTGGGTAGCTAGATACCCATGGGGCAGCAGAGGAGGATTAGGGAAGGGTTAGATGGGCAATACCTGGCACACCAATCTATAAAGTCTCTAAACACATCTCTGGAAATGTAATGGGAAAAATTCTTTTTACCAGAATTCCTTCCAAGCAGAGCATTACAGAAGTTGTCAACTTTGGTAAATTGCTTGGAAGTTGGGGCATGCTCAAATAATCACTATTGTCCTCGAAAGAGAGTGGGTCCTTTAACAGCTGGCTTTTGTTTTGCTTAGTGACATATGCAAGCTGGAGTGTTATCAATGGCTTTTTCTTTTTCACCTATGGTTCTCACAGAGTTCAGCCTCTACTCCAGATAAATGCTGAGCAAACTGTCAATGAATAAGTTTTCATAGGTTGCTGTTATGAATCTATCTGGCCCTTGGTCTGGCCCTGAATCTGGCATGATTCTGAACAAGGATGAGAACAGTCTAGAATCCTTGCTCTTGCTTAGAAATGGTTCTACATAAGAAGAGCACAGATTTTTAAACCAAGCAGCTTAGATTTCAGTTTTGGCTGTGTCTCTCCTTATGTGTGTGTGGCCCTAGCTAAGTCTCATCATCTTCAGCTATAAAACAGGGGAAATAATATTGGCTGTATCCAAGATGGCTCAGAATACTAGGCTGAGAGAGAACAATGGGAAACAGAACCTGTTTTGGAATTTGGCTCCTAAAACTAGAGATGGTACTGAAACAACCTTCAGGTTTGCCTATTCTCTCAGGTCCCATACAAGGCACTTACAGACATCTGTGACACAAGCGTACTGCTGGTTGCTGTAGAGTGGGGAGCTATAGGCCCGACGGAAACCAGGGGGCTGTAGGATGGGATGGGAGGGAGCATTAGAGATAGCAACGTAGGACCCACAGTCCCATTTCTCCCAGTGTGTGTTTACCCCTTCTTAGAGTAAGACATGGGCTGAGAAAGAAAAAGCAGACAATGAATGAGGTGACTCAAGGAGGTGGCAAGGGTTGGCTGGCAACATGCTCCCTCCCTTCTGTCTCCTTTCTCCCCAGCGCCTACTCACGATCTTGCCAAAGCACCTCTGCATCTCCACATAGGACTGGCAATGCTCATGGATGTTGGTTTTGCAGTTCTTACAGCGAAGCCCAAATTTGTTGTTGACTTGGGAGAGGGGAGAACATCTGGGTGAGGTTCCTGATTTCCCTGCCCATTTGCATCACTGCTGCTACTTTAGCTCTTAGGGTTCCTTTTCTGTCTGGGACTTTACACACTCCCAGTCTCTAACAGTATTTTCCTAAAGCCACATACTGGCACAGGCTGTCTACTATACAAATATCTATCTCCTAAACTCTTTTTCCCATTCCCTCGGCCTTTGACATCACTTTCTCTCCACTTCCCTTCATGACTCACGCACAATCATCCGAGCACAGACATCACAGAACTTGGGTTTCTTGAAGAAATGATCCTTGAATTTGTGGGGCTTATCATTGACAAGCTTAGGTGGTTCTGGGGGTGGCTCCTCCTCCTCTTCCTCCTCCTCCTCCTCTTCCTCATAGATGTAGTAGATGGGCCCACTCCCAGCTCCCACTGCCTCCCCATTGGCCTGGGGCTCTTGGGGCAGCTCCATCTCCTTTGTCCCTGTAGACCCCTTCCTGAACAACTGCTTCAGACGCTGTAGCTGAAGGGAGGAAGGAGGGAGTGAAGGAAATCCAATGTTAAAGTAACTGTCACCTTCTTTAGAGTGAGGCTAAAGCTAATTGGGTGTTTTTCTAGTACCCATGCCCTAGGATTATGGAGTACTGGGGGCTGCAGGTACTTGCTGGCATTCTAAAAATAAATGCATCACACACAAGTGAAATCAGTTCAGGTATTTTTCTTCAAGGGCTGTCATGGCTTCCCAGTTCCCCACACTCAATGGTCAGAGGCCCAGACTCACCCCACTTTGCCGAGTCTCTGCCGGAAAGGAGGGCTTAGGAGGCTCCAGCACCTCCTTTTCAGTCATCCTGCAAGAGGTTGGACCCACTATGAAATCTAATCCTTGACTTCCACTCTTCCCTCCCTTATTCCTGTCCCTTGCAAGCAGGGTGGTCCTTGAAGGGAAGGCCTTGGGAAAAATTTGGTTAAACAAGAGATCTTTTCACAGGGCTTATGAATAAAAACACTCCATGGAGATCCAGAGAAAAGCCAGGCAAACTCAGGAACTTCCCAGCTGAAACCAATACCCATCCTTCCACCTTGAGAGGCAAAAGGGCGCAGGGGCCTTAGTTCATAGCCCTAACAGTGTTCAAGGCTGTACGGTTTGGGGATTTTCCAAACAGGCACTTTGTTTTCCTGGGAGGCTGTGGGCAGTAGAGATGAGGCATGCCTTCCTAGACCCCCTTAAGAGGTTTAAGGTGTATATCCACCTACATGCACAGAGAGATGGGCTGGGGACACTATCCTCTACCTCCTTTTTGAGCCCTGGGGGCCGCTTGCCTAGTTCCATCCCAGCCTGCCTTAGGCCTTAGCTATTTTAAGTTTTCAGAGTCATATGAGCCTTTCCTTCCCTTACTATTCCATTCCCCTGACCCCACCCCAGCCACCCCGCCAATCCTAGCTCTAGTGCTGGAGTAGAATAATACTAATTCCTCACAAACTACTCATAGACGGGAGAAATGAAGAAGCGACTAGACTAAGGACTGGGAAACTGGGGTGAGCAGTTCTGGAAATGTAAAGAAGATGAAGAGGCAACTTACGTGTGGGATTCCCTAAGCCAGTCCACAGTCTGGGGAGGAAAGAGGGATCCCCTGGGGGCTTGGTGATGGTGCTGGGGGAGGACTGGTCCTCTTCCCTGGGGGCTGAGCCCCCCCAGTACCTTCCGTACTCACACGGGCTACCCAGACGGTATTTGTAGACCTCCTAGCCTCTCTCCTTGGTGTCAGAGCTGAAATGACAGGGCTGGAGTAAAGCGGACAGCTGAGCAACACAGCTGACACAGAGAAATTAGACACGGGGAGGTCTAGGGCAGGGCTGGACCCTAACCCCGCCCATCCCCCAGAGCTGCTGTTGCTTGACTTCATCTATGGTGAGCAGGCCACGCTGGCTAAATTCAGGAATCAAGGGACTGCTTCTATTCAAGCTGCACACTGTGAGAGGATTTTAGATGAAGTTACCTTATTATTGACAGGATTCCTCATCCCATTTCCCCAGGTCCAAACACCTTCCCAATTCTACCATTCCCCAACTACTTCAGGTACTACAGACTTCAACTTCTCAGCCTTAGCTTTAAACCCTTAGGAAAGAACAGGCTGAGAACTGGAGCAGAAAGGATCACTTGAATCCTTAGAGCTCTCCTAACAGCTAGCCTGGACTGCTTTCTTATCCATGAGGAGTCCTTGCTCTATTCTGTAAGGTAAAAACAATCTGTAGTCTGCTTTGTTCCTTCCAGATGCTTCCAGAGACATCTTCCCCTTTTTCCTCTAAAACCTTTGTCATCAGAGTAAAGAGAACCTTAAGGGCTGCTGAAAAAGACAGGTTAAGAGTCCCATCTGAGAGGCTCTAGGGGAGTGAGGGTCTGACAACCAGGTAGGGATGGTCTAGTTAACAGTGGACAGGAGGTTACAGATGTTACACGGAGAGTTTTAAACGTATCTGTAAATGATGTCTCCTTTCCCATGAGAACTGCAAACTCTTGGAGGTAGGATAGCCATGCCTCACGACTGCTAAGTCAATTTGACTCCCTGGTTCCATCTCCTTCCTCTGATACTCAAGTGTATGAACTGAGGAAGTCAATAAGTTAGCTGGCATTCTTATCTCACACAGATGTAGCTTTCTATCCTTTGGGCTGTGACATGGCTGGAAGAACAGTTACTCTCATCTCTGAGGAGGAAAATTTATAGGTGGTAATCTAGTGCTGAATTATCTCTTCTATCTGTAAGAAATAGAGGATCAGGTTGGAAGCAGGGTCAGATAAGCTTCAGAGGAGCTTGCCTAGAGATACTGCCACCCAAGTGATTTCCAGGGCAATGTGCCCTGCCATTTCTACCCACTGCTCTTTTCCTCTCTCTTAGGGATTGTTGTTGTTGTTATGTGCCGTCGAGTCGGCCCCAACTCATAGCGACCCCTCCTTGGGTTTCCGAGGCAGTATCACTACGGAAGTAGGATTGCCCAACCTTCCTTCCGAGGAGTGGCCGGTGGGTTTGAACCGCCAGCCTTCTGGTTAGCAGTCAAGTGCTTTAGCCACTATGCTACCAGGATAGGTTGGTTCTATTGGTTCTGAGGCTACAGGCTGTTTAATGGCCCTGGCCTGAATGGCTGCAGAACAATAGTGCTAATTTTGAGAATCCCCAGATATAGAAAGGCTCCATCTTGTGGGTGAGGTGACTTATGTTCTTCTTTCTTTCTTCAGATGCACACCTCAATAACACAGCATTTCAGCACTGCCAAGTTCAGCTGATGGGGCTTTTATTGAAAGAAGCATCCATTTCTGTAGAATCCAATCTTCTGGCTTTAGGATTAAAGAAAGACCCAAGTACTCCACCCCTGAAGGATTTTCAGAAGATTAGATGGGACAGGATATATGGCTAACATCTCAACCCAGTTCTGGATCTAATACCCCCTCCCTTCCCCTAGCTCAGCCATGAGGGCCTTAAATGAATATTACAGAATTAACAGGCTGGAAGGAACCTCAGAGGTCACCTCATCAGTCCAAGTCTCTTATTTTCCTAGTAAGGACACACGGTGGTCCAGAGCTGTGCAGGGAGAGCCAAGAACCAAAGCTCCATTAGAGACTCAACCATATACCAGGATTGTGGGCAGGTAGAAGGATGGGAGGAAAGGAATAGTGTTAGGGAGATGTGTGTGCATATGTTTAGGGAAAACCATCCCAACCCATTATCAGAATCCTCCAGCAGCTGTGGGACTATACCTACCCAAGACCTCCAACCCCACCCACACCAGGGCGGCAACAGAAAAACGGGGACTGATGTCCAGTGACAGAAGATTTTTTTTTTTTATATTTAAAAACAAAACTAACCTCCCCCCAAATAACCCCTAAACAAACAAACGAACAAAAAAAAACCAGATTAAATAAAATTTACAGTGAATATACCCAGCAAACATCTGTATGTGCAATTAAATACTGTGTCTGTTACTGCGGCACGAACCTCAAACAAACAATATACAAGTGTTCTGGGGGTGGGAGGAGGCCCAAGTTTGAACTCTGTGGGGTTTGAAGAGACAAGATGGGGTAAATGAGAGGAAGGGGAAATCAATTTCATTTTTCTTAATTCTGTCCATATAAATATATTCATAAAGACCAAAAAAGAAAAGGAAGCTTAGGATGATAAGGAAATAGGAGAATAGAGGAGTGTGGGACCCTCCTAATTCTACCTGGCCAAAAAATATGTAAGAAATTAATTTCATGGTGGGAGAAGAGATAAAAAAATGATAGAAGAGGATGGGAAAGAGAGGGAGGCAGAGAGGCGTTAACCAGGGAAAATGGACCACAGCAGGGGAGTGAGGAGTCCAGTGCCAGCATGGGTGTCTGTTTCCATCCCTGTCCCTACTGCCTTAGGCGCCAGTTTAGCATCTGTCTCCCTGCTTCCTGCCTCTGTCCATGGTCTGTCTGGGCCCCTTGACCCCCTCCACCCTGCCTCCACCACTGCTGTGCTGGTCCCTTCCCCTCCTCTGCTCATTGGGAGCTGGCTCGCTCCAGGATCCTCAGGTCATAGTTCTTTTTGGCCACTCGAAGTTTGAAGCGACTCACAGAGTTGTTGAGGCGAAGGGAGGCATTTTGGGCAGCCAGGGGGCTGGGGAACACAGCCACGATGGTGTACAAGGCAGCGAGGTCCGCGTGGCGGCCATTCTCAGCAGTCCCACCGTTGTCCCCCCCGCCCCCGCCAGGCAGCCCCTGAGCATCCTTGAGCCACTGGATCTTGGCACCGGACATGGCGAGCTGAGTGAAGAGTTTGTCCGCCTCAGTACGGGTGATGCCCTCAGGGAGATCTGTCACCTCCAGCACCCGCCCCAGGACTGGAAGGGGAGGAGAGAGGACATAGCTGTGAGACATGAGGAGTAATGGGGACTGGACAATGGTCTGGCAGAGAAGTATCCAGCTGACCAAATCTGCATACAATGTCTTCAAAAGCCCAGCCTTCCCACTTAGTTTTCTCTTCCCTTCCCCAAATCAACACAACTCCCTACCATTTAGACTCTGATCATGGCAACTAGGAGAAAAATATGAACGTTTCCTTTTCTCCTAGACCAAGATGTAGGCAAGTAGGCACCAGGCACCAGAATCCTAGATTTATGATCTGTGGACTTAGCCTGCAGCTCTCTCCCAGGGTGCTGACACTGAGAGAAGTGTGGTTTTTGCTGATATTCTTTAACAAAGTCAATAGGTCAACCTGACACACGTCCCATAGTTTCTTTCCCACTCAGAGGCTGGCCCAAATAGATTCTTCCTTCTTATCATCTAGGTAAGTGAGTTTCTCTTCTTTTCCTTGTTCAGCAAACTGCTTCCAATAGAGGAAATCCAGAAATCTTATATGCCTAGTATGGAAGCCTTCTCCATATTCTCTGACAATCTGCTCCTGTACTGGGTCTAGAGCTACCAAAAGTCAAGGTCCCAGATTAGGGTCAAGACTGTTTCCAGAAGACTCGGTGTATTCTTCCCAATTTCTACCACTATTTTCCCAAGGACCCAGGATAGCTTGGTAAGGAGAACTGAGACACTTTACTTGTCCCTCCTCTTGAGCACAAAAGGTTCCCATTTCCACTCCCCACACTAAGCTGGCTTTTCCCACCTGGCCAAGGTTGTTAATAGAGGGCTGGGGCAGGGGGTAATGGGCACGTTTTCAGGGGATTCAGCAACTCACCAACATCTGCCGTCCCTAGGTCAGTGGAGGCCGATTTGAGTGCTTGTCTCTTGCCTCGGTTTCCATGCTTCAATCCACTCTGTCCCTTCAACATTTGAAAGGTAACTTTCATCTCAGGTAAACAACACTGACTGCCTTCAATCCCAAGGTCTGCCTGAGAGATTGAGAATGACCCAGCTCTGATGACTCCAACCCACCAGGCAGTCAAACTGGCCAGGTTGTGGCCACTCAGAAGCAAACAGTCCTTCCCTCTTGGCACTGGGGTAGATGGACATGGGAAGAATGAGTAACAGGAGTAGGGTGAGACCCTCAGCCCCTCTCACTCCATCCACTGTGTTTTTTCCCTTGTCCACTTAGCTGGGTGGCTCAGAGATAGCATCCAAATGAGAAGGTGGGTCTGATGGCCCCAAGGCTGAGTGGGAGGGGATGGTGGACATCCTTACCTGGTGCACTGTGTAAGTTGACTGGCCATGGAGCAAGGGAGGGCAGATGGACAGATTGTACTGTAATGGCTGGCCCAAGAGGGAGTAGCGCCCATCACCTAATGAAGAAGAGCAGGTGGTTTTCTGGGAGTTTGAGTTTCATGGTATGAAATTTAAGAGACTTCTGGGGGGGTCTGGAGATGGACAGTAACAGTACATACTACTTCCACTACTTTCTATGATGGGAGTGCTTATGTGACTTAATTAAGAGTTGTCTTTCTTCCTAAATCCCTTAGTTCTCACAGATAAATGGGGTTACTGGGTCTCCTTACTTTGGAAGAAGGATTCTGCCTATGGTAGACAAAAGGCTCTGGGGAAATGATCAGGGGGGAAAACTAGAGACTCTTACAAATGTCTTTTATTTCTTAAGTAGATTCATTCACCTCACCTCCAAACCCAGGGCTCAAATTTCTGACTCACATGAGAAGTAATACAGTAGAGTGAGCATAAGCACAGACGTGGAACCAGCCTGTTTAAGTTCAAATCCTGGCTCTATCACTGGTAATGTAATGCTGGACAGTTTTCCTTCATTAGTGTTGCTGGGAAGGTTAAATGAATATAATACAGGTAAGCACTTATAGCAATACCTGGTATATGGTAAGCACCATAAGAATTAGCTATTGTTATTGAGTATCAATATTACTGTTATTATCATTATTGATAATAATTACATTTCAAAGCACTTTAAGTTTTTAAACTATATTCTCATCTTGTTTTCAGACTGCTTGTGATAGCCAACACAGGAAGTAGGTAAGATTATTCCCATCTTATTCCCATCTTATATGTGATTAACCCCATTTTATAGATTAGGAAACTGAAGTTTGGTTCTGAGTTTAAGTAACTTGCTCAACATAGCAAAGCTGGAGTAGTGGAACTAGAACTTGAACTCAATCTTTCTTTTTATTTATTGTGATTTGGGTGGAACTCAATCTCTTTTAACCCAAATCTAGTGTTCCTTCTTCTAAAACCATACTTACTATTTCTGACATGGCCCCACTTTCCCAGCCCTCAGACTCAGCACTGATGGTTTTCACTCTTTGATTCATCAGAAAGTTCAGTGAACTTCTTTTCCCTGGCCACAGTCACCAACTCTACTTGATGGTAAGTATCTTGAGGTAAGTTAACTATGGGTAACACTAGAAGGGGGAGGATGTCCTTAACTTGAATAGAAACATTAATTTCCAGAAGTTTGCTAAGTAGAAAGGAAGAGCTGGCTTCCAGAACTGGACCTGCCACACTGATTCTCCGCCTGTTACTTCCCTCTAGATCCCCCTACTTAGGAGTGGGATGTAAAGGGTGAATTATACAGCAGTCAGTCCTAATCTAACCCTTACCCTGTGCTGCACCCCCAGGCCGGGGGAACTGTGTGAGGACAGGCAGGGGACTGAGTCCTGTGCAGACGTTACTGAGGCTGGTGACAGGAGAGGGAGCTGGGGACTGGGTAGGAGACGGGACAGGACTGCTGCTCATCTGGGTGTTGGCCTGTGGAAGAGAAGAGCACACATCACATAAATACCTAATTGTTACTCCTTAGATACTCCAATGACTTAGTTTAAAACTCACCTCCCTCAGGAAATGAATCTCTCCCAAAGCCAGACTGCTTCTTCAAACTGTCCCCTTAGTCACCAGACAATCAGCTTGTATTATTTTAATGTCTACTTTTTGACACTCTGTTTTAAGTATTCTCTGAGCAATTTCAAATGTGTGTACTGTCTGCCACCTTAGATCTGCGATTCCCTGAAAGAGGATGCACTCTTCTATTTCTTGTGTTTCTCTCCTAAAAGTGCCCAGGGAAAGATGTGTAAAGAAGCTGCTCAGTCAATGGCAAAGACTGCTTCTTGGGAGGATTCTCACCACACCTCCTTGCTGAGATGGGGCTGGGCTGAAGGACTCACCTGGGGGCTGCTTTCAGGATTGTACAGGTCTCCAGGCTTTTGCCCTCGCTGGTCCACACTGTAGTATTTACAGTGACTCCACTGGACCATGGATGGATTCTGGGGGGTTTGGGGTCCATTAGGGACATTCAGCTGCATAACCACCACCCCTGGTCCAGAAGGTGACACTCCTGAGTGACAGGAAGAAAGCAGTTGGTTATGAATTCAAACTGTATTTTGGCCTTCCAGCTTGTCCTGGGTAGAAAAGCCAGTAAGCAAGTTCACTTCCAGCCTCAGGGTTACTCTAACTGTGTCCTGCTGGAAATCTGAGGTGTGTTCCTGATTCCCTCTCCCCAAACCAGTGGAGGCTGTGGTGGAAGGGAGAGTAGTTCCAGAGGTTCTCCTGGTCTTTATCTGGTGAGGAGTACTTTGGCATGTTTGGCAGAACACTGCTCCATTCTGCCTGGGTTGGGTGCTACCAAATGTCCAGGTCAGATTGCATTAACATCTGAGCATGGCACCGGCCCCAGTATGACTTTAGGCCAGGAGTGTGGGCACGTGCAGGCTTTTCTGGTAATGGCTGCAGATAAGTTAGTGATCTCTGGGGGTTCTGGAAAAGATGTAGCTTCACTGAGCCAGACCAACAAAGTATTTCTTAGGCAAGGATGGAGTGAGTTAGGGAACATTCCAACCAGGGAAAATGGCATGGAGATGTATGTTACATGCAAGAAATGAAAAATAATTTCAAGGTGCTAAAACATAGAGGCTATGTAGGGGAAGTAGTACATGAGATACACTTAACTTATTTCTTCAATAAGCATTTATTGAACATTTACTATGCACTAGTTATTATGTTGGGCATTGGGTGCATAACAAACTCGGTCCTTGCCATCACGAAACAGACAATCAACGAGGGAGACCAAAAAACAAACTCACTGCCGTCGAGTCATATCCCACTCATAGCGACCCCCCCTTGAGTTTCTGAGGGAGTATCACTATGGAAGTAGATTGCCCAGTCTTCCTTCCAAGGAGTGGCTGGTGGGTTTGAACTGCCAGCCTTCTCATTAGCAGTCAATTGCCTTAAGCACTATGCCACCAGAGCTCCCTTGAGGGAGACAGACATTATATAAATAGTTGGTGTCAGGGTTTGAAGTATGCTTTGTTAAGGAGCTTGGACTTCATTCTGGAGGTGTTGGGAACAGGACTTGCATTTCAGAGAGCTAACTCAAGTGGACAAATGTAGGATGGTTGAAGGGAAGGAGAGACCAGCTGCAGGAAGAACTGGTTAGGAAGCTACTGAAACAGAATGAAAACGAGAAGTTTCTGAATCAGGGCAATGACAGCAGAAAAGGAATGGAAGGACTGGACCCACCACTCTGAAGTTTACACTGAGAGGTTCAAGTGTCTGACTGGATGTGTCACTGAGGTTTCAGATGACAATCACTGATGCTGTTATCTTCTCACAGGGGTGGGGAAGGAAAGAGATCAGTGAGGAGGAACATTAAGTTCTGAATCCTTTCCCTGGTGAAAAGCAAGAGAAGAGGTCAGGGAGAAGCAGTATGACTGATAGTCTGCTGAGAAGGATGGGCAGGAGTTCTGCTTCCCCCAGGGGATTGTTCAGACTGAGGGTCTGCTCTTGACCTCCCAGGATATATCCCCACTGAGGGATAGGCCGGGTTCATGTGTGTGTGATGGCAGAGAAATGGGACCTGGGGGTTGTTCAGTTGAAAACCTGCTGCAATGCTGCTGTTTACATGGTGCAGCATTCTGAGGCTGCTGCGGCAGCTACCATCACATCGCTTCTTGTGATGGGAAATGTTGCAGCTTCTGCCCGGGGCACCAGTCATGCTGGGAAGTGAGCATGATTGCTTTTCTCAGGTAGCGTCAGTCAAAGGAAAGCAAGAGAGACGGTGGGAGGTCTGAGAGAGCAGCTCAGGAGACACAGCATGTGTCACATACCATTCGCCAGTCAATTTGTGACCCCCACCCTCTGGGGTCACAATCAGAGGGCATGAAGACTCAAGAGAAACAGGTTCACATATCCCCATCCCCTGCCAAGAGAGACAGGGCATATTATTCATCAGCATGGCTTATAGAAGGGCCGCAGGAAAATTGCAGTTTTGTAGTGTCATGCACTTAAGGAAAGGACTGCCCCGTTTCTATAGCTGTTTTGGGCATTTTATTTCTCCATCCTAAAAGCCCTACCAGCTCTAACATCCTCTACCAACAGAACTGCAGTTGACCTTATTCAAACACCTCATTGCTGCTACCTGAGGGGCCAAGGCAAAAATAATCAAATCTACAGCTTTTCTGGAAGGCAGCTCATAATCTGAGCCTGATGCCCTGGGCCAGGAAAGGTGGGGGATGGGAGTGCTTACAGATGTGTGCGTGTGTAGGGGTGGGGGCGCAAACAAGGCAGTGGAGGCTCTAATACCAACATGTAGCCATAAGAGGCTATCAGGGGGCTCAAGGTGGTGGTGGTGGTGATCAAAGTCCTCATTATTTTCTCTGAGCCTAACAAAAACAAAGCCAGGGTTCTCAGCAGCAGCCTCTGTCCTGCGTCCTCCCTACACCCAGTCCTCCCCCGCTGGCCTGGAGCATTGTTCCTTCACTCAGCTGAGGACTCTGAGCACTGCTCGGCTGATGAGCTGATTTTTATGCTTCTCTTCCTTCAGCCAAAAGCAGGTGGCATCCGTTAGCAGCTGAACTGTCGCTACTTCTTAATGGATGTGGCAATAAAAAAACCCCCAAAACCAAACAGCCCACTGCCCAGTGACAGCACTTACATATAATCAGGTTGGGGGAAGAAGTCTGGGTTGGGGTCAGGGTGGGAAGGGGGAGAAGGGGGTTGAATAAGGAAATCAATTTCAGTTGGAAAGCTCTGAAAGGAGAGGGGATGTGTGAATGGCTTTTTAAGTGGCATCATTAAACCTGGGCAGAAAGGTCGATTGGGCAGAGCACACCGCATAAATACAAACAGATGACATTTATGTCTGGCAGAACTGTTTTTTGTTTTTCTTACTACTTTTTTTTGTTTTTAAATCGCTGAGGTAGAAAACTGATAGGCTTCTTCCTTACCCCAGGAATCAAATCTATAGAAGGAATGTCCAGAGAAATAAAACTCATAGGTATCCTTCCCGAATTACTGGATAAAATTCACTCATATCTTGGTCTTTTTCCTGGTTTTTGGTGGGGGAGAGGGTGTCTTCCGGGAATGGGAGAAAAAGAATCTTGGCTTTGGCAACCCCTCAGCTACAGTATGAGTCTGTAAGTATGTGAGAAGCTGTTTCTGTGTGCATCTCCCTCTGTGCTGCTGGTCACTGTAAATTGGGAGTCTGTGCATAGGTATCACTACCATTTCATGTCTCTGCATCTTCTCCAAACAGTCATCCCTGTAGAAACCTCAAGGGACATGCAAGCTATCATTTTAGTGGAGAGAAAAGCATTTCCTGGGCTTATAGTTATGTCTAATATAAGGTCCAGGCCTGGAGTGAACTGGGTAACTACAAAAATGTATTAATAAGCCAGAACAGTTGTTCCAGGAACAGCCAATTCTAATCCCTGCCTTTATTTTTGGAAAAGTGACCATGTTGCTACATGGGAGGAGGGCGGGTAGCTGTCCTCTGAAGGTGACAGAGGAGCCCTTGCAGACTCGGCCTGTCTTCTAGCTTCTCACTGAAGGGTAAACTGAAAAGCAGGCAGAAGAAGCACTTGTTTCTCTTCTGCTTCCTCTTAGATTTCCATGAGCATGGATAAAGACTTTTAAAATCAATGGACTGATGAGTATGGCCCATTGTAGAAGGGGTCAGTCAGAAGCCTGGAATCAGGGAGGGTAGCTAGGAAGATAGGAGAAATAAGTGAGAAAGTCCAAAGCATCAAGAAAAATAGAGGGTTTTCTCTATTTCTGTTGATGTGGATAGAACCCAGGTTATCTCCTTCTTCCAACCCAGCCCAGATGTGGAGCTGCTATTTCCACACCAACAACTATTTCTGCTTACTTAAACCCAGTACGAGGTCCAGAAAAGGTAATGAAAAATTATTTTCATTTGCATTGCTGCTGATTCAAAGACCTTGTTTTTTAAGATGAACACAGATATAACCACAGAGAGACCCAATAGATAAAGGGACAAACCACCAGGAATACACATAAAAATGCACATACAAGTATACCCATATGCACATGCATACGCTTATTTTAATAAGTAAGAGACAAAATGCCCTGCGGTACCAAGCACTACCACAGGCCACAGTGGTTTTGGGAGCTGGTTTCCATACCCTGTTGGGAATTTCAAGGCCAAATGCTCCTGGTGGACACTAGGAGAAAGAGCTAGAGAGGCCAATAATGTAATAAAAGGGTAAATGCTGTTGAATTTAAAACCTCTCAGCCTGGAAATGATCCCCGTTTGGCCTGGATGAAGTCAGAAGTCATTGCTCCTTGAAGGTAAGAATTCATTATGTCTTATGAGCAAGATTAATATCAGAATTCCTTCTACAGTGTCTTACACTGTAAGGATGCAAAAAACCTTAAATGAAAAATCATTGCATTTCTAAATGGTGAAAACTGGTGAAATACCTCCCTCTCACCAGAAGAGGGCACTCTGACATCCCCACAATAAATACATTAAGTGGACTGGGATAGCTGGAGGCTAGATTAAGACTTCCTCCCCTCCAGAAACTCTGAAGCTTCTTTAACTGCAGTGTACTGCTAGGTCACTGAGAGGCTGCCTATTCAACTGGGGTCGCTGGCCCCTCCAAAGAGAGCCTTTAAACCAAAAAACCAAACTCACTGCCATCGAGTCAGATCCGACTCATAGCGACCCCTCCTTGGGTTTCTGAGGCGGTATCACTACAGAAGTAGATTGTCCAACCTTTCTTCTGAGGAGTGGCTGGTGGGTTTGAACTGCCACCCTTCGAGTTAGCAGTGAAATGCCTTAGACACTATGTCACCACAGCTCCCAGTAAAGAGAGACTTTAGCTGTTTAATATGCTATCCATTTCTTTCCCACTGGAGGGAAAGAAACAGCGTTATTAAGGATGCAACACAGAATATAGAACGTCAAAAGACCCAAGTTAAAGTTCTAGGACTGTGACCTCAGGCAAGTCATTTAACCTCTCTGAGCCTTAAATTTCCTTCTCAGGAGGTTGTGGTGAAGACTGCAATGATACAATGTATGTGTGAACATACCAAAAAATGTTATACAATCCTAAGATATACCTTAAAATACATTTTATCAGCCTCCTTCAAACTCCCAAGGGAAAAGAAAGGCTGTCTACTAGAAGAATATGCACAGGAGACAGAGGTAAGCACTTAATTTCTCAAAGGCATGAGAGGATAATGCAGGATTCAGCAAAAAAAAAAAAAAGGGGGTGGTGGTGGTGGTGAGGAAACCAGTCAGAGATGTAGCTTCTCTGGGACAGGACAACCAACCTCCTATTTCCCGAGAGGTCAGCTTTAGCAGCCCGGAAAACACCAGTCAAGGCTTTGCTCTCTCCTACTCATGGGGTCAGCTGGAAACAAGGCAGTCAATCCCTGGACTCTTTCTGTCCTTCCCAACTCTAGAGCACAAGCTCTTTAGCAACATTTTGCTCTTGCCAGTGGCCACTAAAAAACCAAACTCACTGCCCTCCTTGGGTTTCCGAGGTGGTAGTACTACAGAAGTAGATTGCCCAACCTTCCTTCCGAGGAGTGGCTGGTGGGTTTGAACCACCAGCCTTCTGGTTAGCAGTCAGATGCCTTAGGCACTACGCCACCAGAGCTCCTTGCAAGTGGCCAAGACCTCCCTGATTCTTTATCTTCTTACCTGAGTACTGCTGTGGCATCTGTGGTGGACTGCAGGGAGAAGGAGACTGAGGCATCTGGTACTGCTCGGTGCCGGGAGGCTGCAGAAATCCTACAGAAGGGCTGGGAAGATGCAGAAGAGAGGAGTGGTAAAGCGGTACAGGGAGGAACAGGGCTCCTGGCGAACAGCTGCTGCTTTCTGGGAGTCCCCCATGGGAAGCAGAGGCAGCTCCAAGTCATTCCCCCATCAATTTGCCATGCAATTTCTAAAATCACTCATCAGTTCAAAGTTAATTAGATATATTTGTACTTGATCATCTTTCAATTAGGAAGCTGCTAATCAGTGCTACAGATGGAATGTTCACGACACATGCTCTTTCCTAACAGTGTGGAAACATCAGACACATACACGTGCATACATGCACATACACACACATAGACACAGATTCTGAGAAAACACAGCAGAAACAGAGACAAAGAGCATGTCAGAGACAGATATACAGTGCTAGAGAGATGGATAAAAATAACAAAGGAGATTTGTGATTTTAGAGATAAACACAAAGACTGACAGATAGTCACCTAAAGACAAATGGGACAAAAAACATAAAATCCTAGACAACATGGAGATACACACACACACACACACACACTGAGAGATAGTCACACAGGCCCAGACGAGTTCCAGTTCCAGCTCTGCTACTAACTAGTTAAGAAATATATGCAAATTTCTTAATATCCTTAGCTGGAATTTCTTCATTTATAAAACAAGAGAAAGAAAGAAAACAAGGGGAGTTGACTAGACTATTTCTAAGGTGCCTTCTACCTCTAAAATTCGATTAGCTATGACCTATACGCAGATATAAATAAACACAGAGAAAGAGACACATCATCTGAGATTTGCTCATAGATACAAACTATATATATTAAAAAAAAAAATATATATATATATATACACACACACACTACAAAATTGCTTCTCTTAATAACGAGCAGTCTCTATCTCAGTTCTGAGTCCCATTAGTTAGAAAAACAAAACCGAGAAATTGTAAAACCTCTGTCTCTGAAGACGGAATTTTTTCTGCTGACGAGCTCTTGTTTAAATATAAATCAAAGAGGAGAAAAGGAGGATTAACACCTTCATGTTCTACCTGCTTTAGGTACCTAGGATCTTTACTCCTGCCTTTCTTAGCAGCAGAAACAAAACCATGGTGCAATAGCTGCTGGAGGTCTACAAGAGAAGAGTCCCCACTCTGTAGGAGTCCTCACCTCGTACCATTCTGCTGAGTTGGTGGGATCATGCTGTAGTACACAGGTACGCCCCCTGCTGGCAGGCCCCCTTGCACAGATTGGCTCACAGGCACCAGCATGGGTTGCTGGAAAGGCGGCTGGACCACATTTTGTGAGTCATTGCCCACAGGGACCTGGGTAGAGACAAGAAGAGAATGAGTATGTGTACTCGGTGAGCTCACCAAGAGAAAAGCCCAGTCATCACTAGACGAGGGCACTGCAACTTCCTTCCCTACCTCTCAGAGACCCCTCCTGTTCTTCCCCGTCTGCTTCAAGGAAATGTTTATAGAACTATCTCCATTCCCGCCCCCCCCATCACACACACACACTTTTCCAAACACAACCTTTGGGCATCTGACAAAGAAGGAGCTCAATTTCCTTTAGAGTCTCCTTTCCTGAGCATAGACACATTTCTATGGCTGTATAAAGATGAAACAATTTAAATAAAGATTCTCCTCAGACTTTCTGGGCACTCTCTCAGAGGAAAAAAAACCTAAATTCTACGGGAAACATAGAAAATATTTTAGAATTGGAACTATCAGTCTGGAAGACTCTGGGAGACTGTCTTCCTTTTCTTCTCCCCAGGGACTGGGTGATCTTCCCCTACTCAGAATGCACCCACATGGTAAGAAGGCAGTGGAGTGTACTGAACCACCAGGCCTTGCATTTGGCCCCCCATGCTGCTCCTCTGGTTGCTGAGCAGGCCCTGGTTTTGTGGCTGCTGGACCCCAATCATGCCTTGGTAAGCCGCCTGTTGTTGGTTAGGCATCATGGGCTGTAAACCTAGGGATAGGCAAGGCAGAGAAGATATTAGTTATGGTCTCAACAATGTTTAGGAGGTCACACCCTATCAGTAATTTCCCTCTTCCATTCTACTCTACTTTTTCTTTTTCTGAAAATTCCGGATCCTTCTTTTGGACCTAATCGTATCTGTTTTTCTTTAATTTTTTTTCTTTTTGGATGGGGAAGGTAATCTCTGTTTCCCAGTTTCCAGCTTCTCCCCTTCGCTGACTCCTTACACCAGAAGTTTCTCTTACCAGGCTGCTGGGATGGCTGAGGGAGCTGCTGACCACGTTGGGGGCTATAGGCCACCGAGTGAGAGAGAGGTCGATATTGCTGGTTGGAGTTAGGATACTGTCCAGGGGGATAGTAAGAAACCTGGATCTATGATGAAAAGAAAGAGGTATGTGAGGGCCACTCAAATTTAACCCCAACATCCCCACACTATAAAATACATCAGAGTTGAAAGCCAGAAATTTGTAAATGGAAGTATTCTGGACCTGAAATTGCAGGATTAGTATACAAGTTTGAAAGGGAAAAGAAAGGATTTGTGTCACACAGAAAGAAGACCTGGCTAGAATGGTAACTCTCAAGCACTAGGTGGGGACAGGTGTACCCTCTAGTCTGTCTGAACTAGAGGAAGAAAGAAGGACACTGGACAAACTGATTTAACCTGGGGACCCAAGCTGCTTACCTGTTGAGGAGGCTGCATGTAGCCCTGGGGTGGCAGGACTTGCTGAGTAGGTGGTGCATGGCTAGAGGTGGAATAGTTGGAAGTGGGGAGGGGCTGTCCCGTGGAAGCCATGATGAAGCTAGTCTGCTGAGGGTGCTGGGAGATAAGTGGAGGTTGGAACAGAGCTGAAGATGGGTCAGCTGCCTCAGTAGAACTTTGGCGGCTAAGGCTCATTTGTCCAAAGGGGTTGCTGAGGTCATCTGCCTGTTGGTAGAGTGGGGGACTTTAGGACTGAGGCCATATCAAGGTTCATCTCTTTGACTTGAACACAGACAGACAGACAGACAGCAATACTAACCTTCTCTAGAGCCTTTCTTTTACATCAATTAGAGATTGTCCTGCCTCTGTCCTCCTGGGAGGTGTTTTTCAGCCCTAAACCTCTGTTATACAGTGCTTTAAATTGCTTGAATTGAGCTGTTTGAAGCCCAACTCTGGAGCCAGTCTCTCTACTACATATGAGTTAACAAGGGCCACCCTGATTATGACCTTCATTAGGATTACTCCTGGGAAGATGGGAGCAATGACACAACTTCTATATATAGAAAAAAAGAACTAGTTATTGGGTGAAAGAAAAAGATTATACGAGTCTTTCTATTTCCTGTCTTTCTCCTGCCCCCAATCATACAAAGGGTCCCTACATTGCTATAAGTCTGCTTTTTATAATAAAGGACTCAAATAACACCTCGAGTTGCTTATGGGTGAGTAGGTTCACGTGGTTACCTAGCTCTGCCTACGCAGGGGAAAGACTGCTGGGTTCCCACTCCTGCTGCTTATCTCCCTACTTCCTCTCCAGATCATTTCCACCTCTGTTCTCTAACACTAGCCTAGAGTTCTTCTGCCCTTCAGAAACCTCTTCCAATTCTCGCCTCCGAAAGGAGGCCAGGGTGAGTGGCTGAGCTGGATGGCAAGACTGACTGGTCAATCTTTAATTACCTTCTCTCTCAGCCCTCTTCCCTAAGCAGTATAGGTGATGGTGTTCCATCTCTCACTTGTATAGTGATAGCTTAGGGTTTGTTAGCTTTCTCCTCTCTTCTGTTGTCTGGACAGTAATTGACACACAAACACATACCCTACCACCACCACCATCACACCAGAGAAGGAGATCTTTTGCAAAAGAAACTAGCAGAAACCAAAAGATAACGCTTTCCTGTAGTTTCACTCAATTTTCACTCTGATCTTCATGTTAGCTGTTTTGCTGGCTTACTGGACAGGAACAGATGACAAAATGACTGAATTGGAGATTACTTTGAAGTCCATACTCCAGGACTTTTCAGAATAGAGATAAGAAGTAGGAGAGAAAAGAGGGGATTCTAATGAAAAACCAGAGAGAGGTGATTAACACACACAAAAAATCGGGGCTCTTATAACCATGATGGAAGTTATCCACTACCTGGCAAATCAGATCTTAAGAGAATTTATAGTCAGAGTAGAAACCAATTTAAACAGCATGTACTATGCAGTGGGATAAGGCTAGTTTTACATAAAATGACATGATGAGATAGGGGAACATTTTAAGTTTTTACCAGTGGTACCAGAAAAATCTACAATTGTGTTATTTTTAAAATAAGTTATAGAGAACAATTTTTTCTCCTTAGACATGTCCAGGGAGAAAATGATAGGAAGGATGTACATGGTAGAGAGATGAAGAGCCTAGGTTGGACCAGCAACCAATTTTGTTCCCTCTCTGAAACTCAGGGGAACTCACTATTCCTTTCTGTCTTACATTTAGGCATCTCTTGATGCCTAAAGTGCTGTGATGAGGCCGTTAGAATGGAGTACATGTCAGCCCATGCTGGCCCCTCGAGGAACACAAAATAGCTCTCTCAAAAAGCACAGCATGCTTGCAAAGCCATCCCAGATGAACCCAGTCATATCAACAGATACAGGCCACACATGGACAAGGACAAAAAGGGGAATGGAATTATACCATATTGTACTGCTGGGGCGGAGAGACTGGCAGAAGGACTTGGGGACAGGAGCTTGGAGAGAACTGAACAGGCTGCGGAGAGGGTTGCAGAGCCGGGACTGGCTGTGGACCGGCAGAGAGGCATGTGGAAAAGGGGAGAGAAAAGGAAATCATAGGAAGAGGTAGGGGGGTAGAGATGGGGAGGGAGAAGGGAGGAACAACAAGTTAATCATAAAGGAAATTTCACATAAATAGCAAGGCTGCTGAGCAGGCAGTAGAGCAGGCTTGAAACCAAGCCTGGGAAGAGCTTGTGGCATTTACAATTCTTCCACAAACAGGCAATCTCTCCTATGAGGAGAGACCTGCTACATGCCCCGCCCCATTAGCCACTCAGAACTCTGCAGCTGTTGTGAGCAATCTTAGGACTCTCAGGACTAGAGTCTGCAGCTTGATTCCAAATAAAGCTTTCTCCAAAGCATTTTTCCTGAGCATATGATTCCTGGGGAGCACTACTGCAGCCCTCCTTGGATGTCCACTTGAAAAGGGATTCCTGTTTGCACTGTGTACTGTGTATGTAAGTAGGGTCATACAAGGTCTGGCTCAGCTCTCCTTGTCATGTTCCCGATTTCATACCACATCTCTCCTGAAGGAAATGCTCATTCACAAGCATCATCACTTCCCAAGGGCAGAGAAGGGAAAAAATACCCAGTTACCGCTTGGTTCTGGCTACTTCCTTTAGCTCCATGATTGCTCCTCTAGTCTATGAGGGCAGTATGAAAAATCCCCCCAGAAGCAAGCAGGGAAATATCTAGGAATAAAATAGCCTGGTTTTAGCTTTTGCTCCTTTAGTGCCTTCACTAGTCTCACGTAGGGGGAATTTGTTTATTAGGAACATGGTATATTCTAAACTGACTAAAGGGTAGTTGTTTTTCTTCTCTCCCTTCTTCCTATCCAGCCATTTTGATCACTTCATCAGTTCTATGGTCATAGCCACCAGTGGTAGGAGGGACAGGAGAAGGACAGAGGTGGAAGCGGTGGGGGAGAAACATTTATATACACTGTCTCGTTTCAGCCCACAATACTCCTATAGGGATATAAAATAACTCTTATTTTGCAGTTAAGAAAGTTAAGACTCACAGCTATCCAAGGCACAACTGGTCTCCACTTGCCTGGGGCAACAGAGGAAGAAGGTAACTCAGGAACAGGAGAAAGAAATGGAATGTGTGGCTGCTTATCTCCATGACCAAATGCCTCCTTTGCCATGAGACCAGCAGAACTGGATGGTGCCCAGTTACCATTACTGAACATTTTGATCAAAGATTCTACAGAAGAATCCTGATCAAAAGGGACAAAATGCAGAACAGAATTTCAAATTCTCATGGACTCCAGTCTTTCTGGAACCATAGAGGGTGGATGAACTCCTGAAACTATTGCCCTGAGATAATCTGTAAAACTTAAACCAAAAGTATCCTCTGAAGTCTTCTTAAAACTAATTAATAGTTTAGCTTAATTAGTAACAAAGGTCTGCCTCCAGCTTTATAATCTATTATGAACTATCTACATGGGATCAAAGTGACAAGAGCAACTTGAAAGAGCAGATAGGACTGGAATCAGAAGATACCTCAAAAAGGAGAATACTCTGGAGGCCTTAGCAGAGGAGCTGATGTCTGGATTAAACAAATAAAAGTCGTCTTAGTTAGAAAGAAGTTAATAAGAATCCACTATGCGACTGGGGAGAGATGCTGCTGTAGCCTTGGTAATAAACTTGTTGCTCTACTGGCACACCTATTTCCTGTAAGCTATGAAATTCCAAACATAAATGCCGGCCAGGTTGCTCAGCATAAACTGCTGGTGCTAGTGGCTTTTAAACACATATCCTGTCACGTTAATCTTCTTTTTTTTAGGGGAGGGCCTAACTTGGTTTGGCCTTATATACTTTGGGTAATGAGGGGAAGGGGTGGCCACAGGGACAATGAAGTAAGAAAACACTGTCTATTTTCCTTACATTTGTGAGTTTTGAGTAAAAAGTGAGAGAAGAAATGATGTTCCACTATTAGGCTTCCAAGAACCTGGAAAGGGGCAGTGGAAAAAGTAGGGAGGGGGTCTCAGTGTTATTTTTTAGTTTTTCCATTTCCACCCTCAACTATGTTGTCTCCTTGGAGTGTCTCAAACTTCAGAGTCAGGTAATCACAGAGAAACTATGAGAAAGCTAGATTGACCCTGAGGAACATGACTGCCAATGACTGGTGAATTTTGGGCTAAGTCACTGGCTCTGAGATGCCTGACTTCACTGGGAAAGGCTGAGAGGGCTCCTTTTTAAGAGCCCCCATTCATTTTAAGCAAAATGGATGAAAAGGTGGCTACTAGCCCTTTAGTCCTCAGCCCTGCCCCGTGGTTTTACATGTTTTACTAACACAGGATCTGAAGTTTTGCCAAGAAGGGAAAGAGCGTAGTTCAGACCACATCATCCTCAGGCCTGGTGCAAATGGCCTCTTGCTACAGGGCTAAAGGTAACTACCCTTTTTCAAAGTTTTTTCTTTAAAGGAAAACTTTTAGAGTAAGCACAGTGGTGTGTGTGTGTGTGTGTGGGGTCACTTTCTTCATCTATGCACTGTAATATACAAGTGGAGAAACTGCACAATAGTTATTTTGGGGCTCAGCAACTTCTTGAGTTTGAAGAATGCCCAGTGCTGATAGTTGGGAAAAAAGAAAAAGAAAGAGACAGTAAGAAGAAAGGTATAAAGGGAAAGTGAGAAAGAGAGAAGTGGAAGAAAAAAAAAAAAAGACATACAGTGGTGGTGGTGGCGGCAGTGGCGTTTATGTAGTATCAGCAACTACCATAAGTGCTTCAGGGACACCAAAGCTTATCCAGGATAAGATTAAGTTTGGAGTCTGTCATCAGGATTAATATCAAGAATAAACTTCTGAGGATGCAGAGGTCTCTGCACCAAACAATTCTCCTTTTCCCCGATCTGTAGTGCCAGGCTTAACACCACACTCTCTGCCAGAGATCAGTCCAATACCAAAGGGTTACCTATTGATCCTCAAGCTAACAATTCTAGAGAAAAACACAATCTGAACAGAAATTTGGGGTTTAGGGCTGGTATATCCTGCCTAAAACATTTCCAGTCCCAAACAGCTATTCCTTCAATTTTCTCTTTATTCTTCTCATTTCTTCTATCTTTTTCTAAATATGGAAGTAAAAGGGAAGCAAACAGAGTACTAAAGGGAAGATAATGGAGTAAGACTGTATTAAAACACACATATTTTACAAAAAACTAAAAAATACTGGGGCCTTATAAAAGTGGGACATACACACACAGAAACATTGCAGGAGATAGCCAGAAGGAGAAGCTCAGAGTTTGTATCCATTTATAGGTTTGAATCAAGATACGGACAGAGAAAACCATACACACATAGCCGCCATACTTTGGTGAGAAGGGAGGTAAGCTGATATGAACAAGACTTAATGGAGTGAGTGGTGTAGAACAAGAAAGAACATTAGGACTATAGAGACACTGATTTAGGGACTAAGTTGAAGGATAGGAATAATCTGCGTGTGAGTCACATCAAGACATAGAGCAGGGTTTCCCAGGTCTCCAACGTTCTTTATTTTACCTTCTTTTCACTATAATTGAGATGGGGCAGTACTGGAAAATTCTGGGGTCTTTCCAATTTAGTGTCCAGTTCCTGAGGAATCAGTGTGTGGGACTTGTGTGTTATACCCAGGAAAGAGTATATGTAAAGCCAAAGAGTATATCTAAAGCTGGGGAAGGAACCTGAAAGGTAAAACTTAAACTGTCACAGAAAAGAGTCAGTGTAGACATACAAGCTTCCTAACTTCTCTTTCCGACCATGCTTTTGGACAAAGCTATGGATGGAGCTCTGTTTGTGGAAGAGGAGAGTAAGCGACGATCTCAGCATAGCTATGCTCAGAGTATTAAGGTGACTTTTAAGTCTAGACCACGGAGGTTCCAGTTCAGAACAGCACCTGATTCTTAGGCTGATGCCGTGCATGGTCTCCAGAGAGGTACAACTTCATTCAAACTCTGGTTGGTACTAAGATCTACCAGTCCAGCTACTGCAGAAAGATACAGCTTTTTTTTTTTTTTAATGTACACCACATATATCTATTTCTGTATCTATATATTAAAACATGGAAGAAAGAGGTGGCAGTCTGTTTCTGTAAAGATTTACAGTCTTGAAAACCCTATGGGGCAGTTCTACTGTCTTACAGGGTTACTATGAGTCGGAATCAACTTGAAGGCAGTGGGTTTTATATATTAAAACCCACAAATTCATGTTGTTGTTGTGTTGTTGTTTGCCGTCGAGTCGGCCCCAACTCATAGCGACCCCTCCTTGGGTTTCCGAGGCAGTATCACTACGGAAGTAGGATTGCCCAACC